GCTTAAATGAAACCCTCAAATATAGCTCATAAGTCGCGACTCGCATTAACCGAGAGAAATGTTGGCTGTTTTTTTTCGGTTCGGGATAATGACGTCTGGCTTACTGGGCACGGGTAGGGCAATCTCTGACGTTCAGCTGTTATTCTCGTTCTTGCTTGCTGTTGTTGTAACGAGGCAATTTGCTGTGCAATGACACTCGACGTCTGTCTGTCTGTCTGTGTGTATGTCCGCTTAATACCCGTTCTTGTGGTCCTTGAGGTCGCGACATGAAAACAGCTCTTGGTCACATCATCTGTGTTAGTGTAATAACTGTATTAACATCGAGGGATGGCTAGTTAAGTTATTAGCAACTGCAAAGAGATACGTAAGTAAGCAGACTTAAATCAAAAATTGGAATTCCTTAGTATCAACCAAGTTAAATCTAGAGCAGCCTATTCGTATCTTATTTGTTGTCATTATAGTCAACACATGTCGCAGAGCTCACTTAAGCAGCTCGACGAACAGCCCTCGCTTATTCAAGAGCGAAGGGGTAGTGGGCTGGCACTTGTCATTGCAGGAAATGCAAAATGCTATTTAAGTACGACCCCACCTCCAAAGCTGTCTTTTGTTGGACTCTCGTGACTCATGAGTCGGCAAACATTTCTCGCGGCACGCAAATGAAACGCTAACTGCGAGAGTATTTTTGCCAAGTGAGCGTCAGGCTACTGCAAATTAACATGTTAACAAAATTGGCAGTTATCGCATGGTCTTTACAGTCTGTCTGTCTGTCTGGGGCGTTAACAGCAGCCCACAACAATTGTAGATCATGGTCTTACATTTACATTCAAATAAATATACACGAAACCCTCGAGAGCTGTCCGCACATATGAAACAATAAATCTAAGTGAGAAAAACATATTTTTTGTATAAGTGGCATTAAATATTTCAAATATTTGGCACAACAGTCAAGTTAACACTCACTTTTGCAGAACAGCAAAGATTGCAAACCAGATGTGCACAAATGGCGCCTTGAAAGTAGATAGCTTATCTAAGAGCAATATACGATTCAGATGAAGCTTACAAGACAGAAAAACACTTGATAACAGAGTATCAAAGCTGTTATTAGAGTAAATGCTATGCAAATGTTAGTTAACAGAAAAGATTACTGTCAGTTTACTTTTCTTTCGCAATCTTTCTGTTCGTTAACATTGCTGTTAGTTAACAGAGTGTAACGACATTCCCGTGCTGTTATATAAATGATTTACTGTTAATATTTAAGATTTGTTATTTATGTCTTATCTTTTGCTTTATTTATGAGTACGATTCGAGTCGTACTTTGAGTTATTTCTGTTTTTCAATTAAATAATAAACAATATTTTAAAATGAATTTTCCAATTTTGTTTCTTTAACTGTTATTCAGATGTTCTCAAATAATTTTTAAGTTTATATACAATTTTCCGATTTTCAAAATATTTTTTATATTTATTTAGTATACAATAAACTTCAATGGGTATGTTGAAAAACACCGCTCAAAGTATTTTCCATTTGCTGATGGATGCTTATCGTGATGCGCGGCTGATGGGTCACGTCCGGGTCTCCGTTGTGAGTCCGCGTCCGCATTCGAGTCTGGGTGCGGGCAACGGGCCAGTGACACAGTTTTTAAGCTAAACTGAGTGACAGTAGGGGCTGGCTGGGTTTTTGCGTTTGATTGACGCGCTCGCGATTTCAATTTATTTATGCGCAACATTTTCATATATATAATATATATTTATAAATATATATTTTTTTTATTTTCTACTTTTTCACTCTTTAAGCTCTGTAAAATTTGTAATATCAGTTTTAGTATTGTTGTTCGCGTTTCAAATTGGCGTTTGCTGTATATTGACGCTACGAGCTGATAATTAAACCTATTTATAGTCATCTAGCTGGCTACAGATGAAGTAATTGATACTCGTTGAAAGCTTATCATAGAACTGGGTGCAAGTGTTTACTAATTGCAGTCAATTAATAGTGGAGCGAGGTGCTGAAAGCAAATTATGATTATTAGATTGGCCAGCTTTGTGAGATTGAAAGCTTTCTCGTCCAATCCCTGGCTTCAATCAGTGCGTTCGATCCATGCAGATTTGTCATTAATCAAAGCATGTAACACGATATTGGCCGTTGCCTTTAATACAACTTATTTTCCATTCGAGTACAATGAACCTTTTTTGGGCGTCGTAAAACTGAATTTGAATATCAAATGAAAGTAAAACGGAAAGAAAAAACGTAACGACATTCCTTCCGGCACCATTTCACGTGTGTCATTCAAACAAAAAATCGCATTTGAAAGAAGCAAAAAGCAAAGAAAAGCTAAAGGCAAATCAATAACAACATCAACAACAAAAGTCACTTCACGTGGATCAAGTCATTCACATTGTCACAACAAAAACAGCAAAAATATAATAGGAAAAACACGTAAGAGCGCTCTCATCAAGAGATAGCGCGACGTGAAGGTACTCCTTGAATCCGGGTTTATTTTAGCAAAAATAAAAACAGTCCTACGATCAATATTTATTTAATTTTTTAATTTTTCCTTAAAAACGAGTTAAAGAATTTTAAAAATAAATAGTTAAAGTGAATTACTTTACTTTTTATATAAATATACTGAATTTGTGATGAAAAAATACAGAAAGATTACATATAGAAATGTAAAAAATATTAGTAAGTTCGATAATTATCGATTCTAAAAAAAAGAAAATTTTCTGAAATATACCAAATTTTTACACTTGAGAAACTAGCGAAAGGCAATACACTCCGTTTTAGCTTTCAGCAATAAACACAGGCAAAAAGAGGGGTGTGTGCCTTGTTATTTTTTACAATCACGTGTGCGTGTGTTACCAAAAATAAACGAAAATAAAAAAAATCAGCAAATGAAAACTTGTTTTTATAGAGGCAAAAGCAGGCGCCATAAAGCCGCCAAGTGCATGCGAACCGGGCATTGTATCACTATATCATTTTCATTCACACGATTTGCATTATTAACAATTATTCATTAATGTAAAAATTTACATACAGTTACTATCTTTTTAATTGCTGCGATTATCTCATATGGCTATCTATTTGTTGATTTTTCAGCTAGATATGTCAAATTTCTGTTATGCAATTAACTAATGGAAATTAAATAAATAAACAGAGCAGGTGAACCAATTAGGAAAAGTTTAATTGGGCTTATCGATTTGTATATATATCACTCGCCTGTTCCTTCTGTGCGGGTGAAAGTTCATAAGGAGAATGTAAGGAGAGAGTAAATTGCTTAAGTGCACTGCTGGTCTTGCTGCTCGGCTGAATGTTATTAGCTATTCGCTTGCATCATAGTATTTTAATAGTAAAAAATTCTGACTAAGCTAAAATTATAATAATTATCAGAAAACATTAATATTTGTGTAAATTTAGATGTTTTATACAACTTGCGGCATTTAATTTAAACGTTTTTATATTGCCATTAAAAAAATAAGTCTCATTTTCTAATATGAATCAAATAGAGCTATATATATCTATGTCGCTCTAAAAATTCTATTCATATTGTTTTGTGCTTTCTGAAAGTGTTAAAAGTAGTTAGATATGCACGAATGAGAATTACCCTTGACTGGTACACCCTATAAGGAGGAGCTGACCGACTAGCCATATACTATATACATATATATATATGGATTGGCATCTGACGCGTCTAGATAATTCGTCTGACAATGGCATTTGCATGTAGTTAACAGAGGTGACTGTTTGAATTGTTAATTCAATGGTTAATTAATTGTATGACGAATCCGAACTTGGCCCCAACGGCATTCCAGGCCATGCGCTTTCATTAAGGGGCTTTGAAAGAATTCAATTACGATACAATACAAAAGCTACAAACAAAAGTGGACAGCGAGAAGAATTCATCTGTTACTCGAGCCGAGCTCGGTTGGCTCTTCAGTCCATTTGCATTTGCAGCCGGATATGTGTATTACGCCGATTGCCTGACCCAGATGAGTTGTGTGCCCCTACGGAAACTCTCGATTCCAGCAACAAAAGACCCAACAGCTTATTATAAAAGAGCGTTATCTTTAAGCTTTTTGTTTATCTGAATGCTTTGCTTTCTTTGTGGCTGCATTACGAGGCATAATTAATCAGGAAATATATTTTTTTTTTTATACTTGAATAATAAGCAAAATACATATATAAATATTGCACAATCGGCACAAAGTGCTGACCTGCTGCCGCATCATCCTCATATCTAACATCCTTGTCTTGTCTTTGACTGAGTTGTGAAGTTTTTCAATTTTATTTTGTTTTTTTGTTTTGTGGCAATAAGAAAAACAATTTCCTCTTGTAATATTTTTATGACCTATTGCGTTGAGTGTTTTATTTTCTTCTTCTATGTTGTAGTTTATTGCTTGCTCATGCCGGAAAGAGTTTTCGACTCCAAATCTATATAGCGGACAAAAAAACATTTTTGCTTTTTCACTTAGCTCTCGGGTATTCATTTTGCTATGCTTCGGTATTTTCATTTCACTAACATATTTACTTGATTGTCGTATACCCTGCAGACCGAAATATGTTTCATGAGGTATTTTAGCTACACAGAATATATATGTTTACTTAACTGGCATCGGTATTCGAGTCGATTTCCCGTTGCAGCTGTTTTCTTATAGCAAACATTGAATATTGATAAATATAAATGAGGTTTTCAGAATTGTGAAACTTAGTTAAAAGCAATTACTCGGTTACTAATTGAGTTCCAGCAACAAATTCATTTCCCATTAACAAATTAATACTTATTGGAAATACTTTGCAAGGAACGCAACAAAAGAAATCTTTAATCTTATGGCGAAATTTTAAAATGGATTTCAATTGCAAAATATTTGCTGCCCAGCAAAAGGAAGTGAACTTTTAATTGCATTTCATTCAGGGTAATTGTAAGCTAATAATTCAATTAAGTTGACTTTGGATAGGCATCTCAATTAATTTAATTAATCCAGCATTTTCTTTTAAAATATTTTCAGACTCTGCTCGTTGACAATAACGCGTCTTTCCATCCTGAGTCCCCTGCCGGGGGACACGACCTCGCTTTCGCTAGCGGTGAAAATGCAAAGCTCCAAGCGAACACTTCGCAGCCACGAGATACCCATCAATGGCAGCGCGCTGACATCTGCGGCATCCAGCCGGGAGAGCTCCATGCAGGGCAATTCGCCGCTGGCCAATGTGATTGGGGGCTCGGGCCTGATTGGCACACCGGGGAATGTCGGTAATGCTGGCATTGGCACCGGCGCCCTCCCACTGACAGAGACGGAACTGGACTTGCACTTTAGTTTGCAGTATCCGCACTTTATAAAGAGAGATGGCAATAGGTGAGTGAAATCTTATGCCACATTTGCTGCCCCCAGAGACTCATCCACTGCATCTATGCTTTTTGCAGACTGGTGATTTTGTTGCAGCGCCGCAAGAAATACAAATCGCGCACAATTTTGGGCTACAAAACGCTGGCCGAGGGCATAATACGTATGGATGCAGTGCTTCAGAAGTCGATGGACATGATCATTGAACTAACTGCATCGGGCAAGAATGGACGGCCCGGCTCTGTGGTCGCCTGCCTACGTGCCGAACGCGTCTCCTCCATTCCAGTTGACCATGACAATAAGAACAACAACAGCGTGCTGCTGGCAGGTGAGTCATTCAGGCAATCGTCCAAGCAATTCCGCAGTCCACTCCACTCAGTCAGCCCATCGCACGCAGCCAAGCAACTTATTGCCAAATCCATAAACCACACATCATGATCATCACCAGTCGAAAAGTTGAGAATTAAAAGCGTAAATGACGCGTGACCTGGGCTCGGGCGAAAGAGGGCGGGGCCGTTGTTGATGGAGGAGCATGTCTAAATAATATCAGCCGGGCCTTGCGCTGAATACCCAGATGCATGATACTCTTGTTATACTTTATTTGTATCTGTGTGTATATATATATATACTTATATCAAAAGATGATCCCAATTTGAGTTTATGTTTATGGTAATTGCTTGTGAAACCATTCCCCAAGCGACGCACGATTGATGACGTCAGCCCTGCTCGCCGCATACTTTAAATATATTTCTATTTTTTTTGTTCTACTTACAATTTGGTCTTGCAATCACATTTTCCCTGAGTTTTCCCATGTATCTGGGCTACAGCAGCCGTAGCAACAGCAGATAGCAACGGAAACGAACATTTCAGAATGTGCTAAAAGTATTTCATTAAAAACACCTCTCATACTCTTGAAGGAAATATATATATTTGCCACTCATTATGTGTGAATTTCTGATTTTAAATCTACGACCTTAAATTAAATACATTTGACATCACTGGAAATATAGATTAATCTATTCTATATGCCTGTGCATACCAGTTCGCCTCGCTATAGATAGAAATTATCAAAAGACCTTTTAAATTATCGTGAATCTCTTCAAAGCAACATTTAACCGTGCGCTTCAGATACTTATATATATATATATATATATATATATATATATATGACAATAATTCAATTTTCCGCTCATCATGTCTTGAGCTCATCAGAAGAAGTAAATTTTGCTCATAGAGCATTCGAAGAGATATTAAATTGTACAACTTTCATGATGAAAGCATTCGAAGAGATATTAAATTGTACAACTTTCATGATGAAACCACATTTAAATTCTATTCGCACAGCGGAAGTATTCAACCGCAAAACCTAGGAATTTCGGAAAAATGTTATTGTGAGCTATACTAGGAAAATTCATTATTTAGTGTTTGGCTTTTCGCAGCGGCTGTGCCAGTTGCGTTGGATTTGCAGTTTGCCTAACTGTTGAGCTTCTGGGCAGAACTTGGCCAATGCCAATGTGTATATATGCTTTGTATGGAAATGGCCAAGGTGAAGCCCTGAATTGTAAGTGGCATGCACCACGAAATGGCCAGCACATTGGGGACACGTTGCAGCATTGTCCTTGCAATTGCATTTACACAAAGTGGTCGACGACGGCGGCGTCGTCGGTTGACGGTCAAAAACTTGTCGCTTTCCACTTGGCAACTGGCCCAAAAGTGTTGCCAATTGGGACTTTGTAAAGCTTAGGGTCAGCCAGGCAGAAGACACTTGAACCCGGGTGGGTTGTCGGTTAGTTTTCCGCGACAGCGTTGACAGCTCTCAAATTACTTTTGGGACTCGCTTTCTAATTTGCAAAATGAATTTCAGTTACGTGGCGGGGCTGTGTTTTGTCTATGTAACCTCCATCTATTTTGTCTATTGATTTTTGTACATTCTTTGCTGCGACCTAAAAAAGGCTGCCCCAACAATTGTGGTAACAAAATGCTAAAGCGATTGCAAACCCAGCAAGCTTGTTGAATGCCACACCCAGCCTGAGATTCGGCTAAGGGACATCGGTACAATTTGTGGAACTCTCCTGCAGGCTAGTTTCCATATTACATGAATTTTGCATAATACTCCAAGGGCTTTCATATTCTATGAATTTAACTTAATAGTCCAAGGGCTTTCTCAACTGTTGGGTCTAATATTGAATGCGACCTGCCCGAACAGAGTTATAATAAATATTTCAAAATACATAAAAAATATGTGTCTGAAAGGAGTCTTCAAGTGCAAACTTTCATCTTTGTTATGACGTTAAATACATCCCTTACTCTGTTAAGTCAGCTACTTAGAGATTTTCAGCCAAAGTGAACTTAGGCATTTCGACTTTAATTTGTATACCCTGAACCCATTGAAAATGGAAATTCAGGATATGCTGGTTTTGTGAAAATGTATGTAACAGGCAGAGGCAGGCGTAGCAGCCATTAGGTATATATATTCTTAGTCAGGATAAAGAGCTGAATCGATCTCGCCGTGTATTCATCTCTATGAACGCAGCGATCTCATAAGCCGCAAACTCTGGAGTATATATATTTAAATATATAGTCGTGTATACCATACGCAGTACTAGTTTTTAATGATAACTTGCCATTTTATTATTGTCAATAAAAATCGATAGTTTAACTGTTTTTTTTTAAACGTAGCTTGCATACGTAAAAGCTGTATACTTTAGATTTACCTTGTAGTTTCCTACTTAAAAAAAGGGCATTTAAATGAAAAGTTTTCTGTAACAATTAAGGGGTCTTAGTAAACCCCATAAGCGTGCTTTTGCGTGTGTGTGTGTGTGAGTATGTATTATTTGTAATATATAGTAATGTATGTATAAATACACATACTTGCACAGTTCAGGGTATTTGCTAGTCAAGCAGTCTCAACTAAAGCATTCTCTTTTCAATACCGACCAATTTAAGTACGTCTCTATGGTATCTGCCAGTCGAGCATGGCCAACTATAACGCTGAGTTGCACTGTATCATGCTTTCTTCCAATTTTAGATGGGATGACAAGAATTTAAATGTGAAGCAAAAAAAAAAAGAAATAAAATATATTTATAGAAATAATACTAATGAAAGCATGCAAAAAAGCTAAAAGTATTTTGTTATCAGGTATACATTTGTGTTCGAGCAAGTTCATATGCCGCCCACGTTGCATACGCTTGTTAACAGATCACTTAAGGGTCTTGCCACAAAAGGTATAAATTATGGTATTACAGCCGTTGCCAAGAATTTATCCTTGAATATTACGCAGTTGAAGTGCCTGCATTGTCATTTGTAGCTGCTTCTGACAGGAATTAAGTCATTTGTCCTTGTGCGCCAGAGATAAGCGCAAATAAAAGAAAGAGAAAACTTAAGCAGAGGACAGGCATAGCAAGAGTATGACGCACAGGTGGATAAATGAGGGTGGCTGTGATGCCTCTTTTGGGCTGGGATTGGGTCCATTCGGGCGACACATACATGCATACCCATATATATATAAATAAATATATATATTATTCGCTGAGTGTTTAATGGCAAAATGCGTAAATTATGTCGAGCGTTGCTAGGGCGCATTATTGTTCACAGCTGCCATCAACCTCCAGCCCGCCCCGCCTGGCCCATTTCCCCGCTCGTTGTCTCGACTGTCATCTAATGGCAATGTCCGCTGCTGTTGCTGCTACTGCTGCTGCTACAGCTTCAGCTCTAGCGACGTGTTGTTGGCCAAGGTCAACGTAGTAACAGTACTTTTTGTGAGCCACTTTTTTTATACCCTACAAACGTTGAAAATGAATGAAAAGTATATAAGCCTAACAGCCCCAGTCAACCTGGCCATGGCCATCTGTGCTTTATGGAGGACTTAGAATGGGCTATACTAATTTACGACTATTTCGCTGACTGACTACAATATCTACTTCATTTTTAATTGGGAGTTTGATTGAGTCAATTCATCATTCAGGGTGGTACCATCGAATAGTTTCTGAATAATGTTCAAAATTTGTTTGTAATTAATTTCAAAAGTCAGAAAACTTTTTAACCTTAACGTGTTGACGCGAAAGTATGAATATTGTAAATGTCTGTGATGCCTACATGACTGTTAGTACAGGGTACAACCAGTCGTGCATGCAAGTGAAAGGCACTCGTACTTTTTTGGTCTGTTGTTTATCTGTTGGTTGCCTGCCAAAGCCGCAACCATGGAACGTTCCGCCACAAGAAGAACAGCATCAGTTATGTGAATACATATATATATATAAATATATATATACAAGCAACATATATATACATAACATTAAATCAATGTCGTTCGTCGCTTTTCAATACGATTTTCATTATGTATACGCCGCATGGTGCGCGTGGGCATCCATAAGTGTGGCATCTGGTGAGCTGCGACTCACTGCGGAGTGTGATTCAGGTGGGGAAATTCACCCCACCCATTTTGGCCGCTAATGTTGGCCACTCTAGCACCTCGCAGCAACACTTTGTCTGCCATTTTCTGTTTACTTTCCGTTTATACTATGAAAAGCAGCCCACAAAAATTGCAGATTTTCATATAGTATGTATGTCGATGAGAAATTTTCATATTTTCCTGGAAATTTAAGAATTAATACTGGGAACTAGCGTGAACATGGATTATACAGATATTGATATTATACAGATATTGACTTCGCATCTTTCATAGTCATATTTTACTAAATATATTTATATACACTTTAAGAAAAGTTTAAAAAATGTAAAACTGAAAATTCCCCATAATATTATTGTTAAAAATATGAGATGGGTCAAGACAGATATACGTATATATAATAACAGTTCCAATTAAAGATGAAAACTTATTGTTGATCTTCTTCTTCTCCTTATTGCTAACGTCTGCAATGCATCCGTGCGCAGCTCCAGCAGCTGCTCCAGCAGCTGCTCCACTTAACAGTGGAATCTTGCTGATGCTATTGTCTGATCGCCTCACACGCCACTTGCTGAAGATAACCAGAATACATACATATGTATGTACGCATATGTACGTATGTATGTGTGAATGTATGTATGTAAACGCAGCAATTTGTAGACAAGGAGCATGAGTCCGTTCCTGGTTGAGATGCTTGTTTTGTAATCACCTGGGCTTATAATCAGCTAACTGTTTGTTTAATGTTGTTAAAAGTAACACTTATCCACTCAAAACAACACACATACGCACGCGCACACACACACGCACACTACGATCTTAGGGCCTCAACATTTTTTTTGTCCATTTTCGATTCACACGTTTTGTTGCTTGGGCACGCGATGGGCGGCTGTCGTTGCCGGCCGGTAAACGCTCGATTCGAATTGTGTGTAAATGATAACGGCAGCAAAACATGCAAGAAAATAAATAAATAGTAAAACAGAAAGCAAAACAGCAGGCAAACAAACGCTGCGATCGACGAATTACATGCAGACAATAATAATAAGCAATAGACAGATGAAGAGACAATGACAACAGCAGAAATCTAATCAGACTTTTTCTTTCGTGCCGTCAAGCCCACACGCTGAAAGCTCAAGCTTAAGTAGTGAGCAAGCGAGAGAGAGATAGAAAGTGCGCTAAAGAGAGTTTTTAAGTTTCTATAAATACATATACATATATAAGCACAAATACATGCACGTGCATATAAATACGCACGTATGTATTTATGTTTGTCTGCTCATCGATGAGTATTTTCTTCAATTAACTGAATCGATGCGTAAAAATAACTTTAATAACCGTTTGCCATGCCCCCGCACAACTCAAGAGCTTTCGTACAAATACATGCATATACATAAGTGTGAGTATGTTTGTATATATAGCTCATGCTTACGTGTGATAACGCACACGGTCTGGCCTGTTCGAGGGAAGTTTTATCAGTATAGATAATTTAATTTAATAATTTACAGTTTAATTATAATTATATTTGCAGGTGTTTGCCTTCTTGCTCACAGAGACAAACTTCGTTCTTCCTTTTATCTGCTTAAATACTCTTTGAATTCTATTCTTAAACTCTTTATGCAATCCAAAAATTATGCAATTTAGTAATGTTGCTTATCTGTCAAATATGATGTAGATAACAAAACTTTTTAGCAAGAAACTTTCAATTAAATGCCTTCGATAAGAAATTATTTTAATGTTGAGATCCGATAGCTAGATTTCATAAAAAATAAAAATAAAAAAAGCTCGATAACTTATATATATCAATATAATATAGTATGTGTCTATGTACTTTTTGTTAGTATAAGTCAGTATGTTATTTATCTATATATATATATAGTTGGATCGACCCTCGCATATAGCTAGGCGTTTGCCGTAAAATTTCTCGCAATGATTTCAAACAATTTCCCCCAGTGCGCGGACAGCTCATCATCCATCGCTCATTGCCTACTATCCGCTGTCCACTGCCTCAGTGCATAGGTGAGAAAGTGGCGCGCTCTTTGCAGTTAACGCTGCTGCCCGCTCTGTCACTGTTGCTGCCTCTGTCTCTGCCTCTGCTGACGTCGCAACAAGCATTGTGTGTAAAGAGTCGGCAGAGCGCACATTCATTTAGTTGGCGACCGTGCAGCGAAGCACACGTCGTAAGAAACGGTCTCTATTCAATCGAAGTGAAGTGAGATGAACCGATAACTCGACGCTGATATCTTGTGATTAATTTATTTACGTATACGTCAGAAGTGGAGGTAGCGGCAAAACAAAAGCAGCGCGCGTGTTTTTTTTTTCATTTTACTTTGCTGCATTTTCTGATGAAGTACGCAGTACGCGTTCAAGTAAAAACAAAAAAGGTTAAGAGAATTATTAAGTAAACTTCATAAACGGCGGCCTGAAACAACAACGCAAAAAGAAGCTGTCGGTCGCATCGTCACGTCTGGCAAACGCTTAACCACACAACTGTCGCGAGCTTAGACAGTTACGTCTAAGTTTGTATAGATAGTATCTATTAGATACCTACAAACACACATATATTTAAGAATATGTATGTTAGAAACTTGGTAGTATTATTTTGAATGGCCTATTATATGAATGCTCGTATATCTTTTGACAGATCGCGTTGCAGAATACTCAGACGAGGACGAGGAAGCCGAATTCAGTTCGGGGGAATTCAACGACGAGTCCAACGAGCTGGCCATTACCGGCTACGACCAGAAGCGTGACTATAATCCGGCCAAGCATGATATGCGAAAGTATCGCAATAAACTGCAAAGATCGGGCATTGAGGATATCGCAATAGTTGGCCATCATCCGCATCCCGTGGACAGTGACAGCGAATTCGAAATGAAGGACAAGAGCTCATCCCGTGCCAAGTTCAGTCGGGTGAGTCACTCAACAGACACAACTTCATACACACATATCACAATAGCGTATATATTATACAAACATACATATGTATATCGTGTAAGCTTTAACAGGTGTGTCCCAATTTGTCCACCCACCTATTTAAAATAATTGTTTTGCTCATTTGACATGGCCACAGTCAAGGGCACTTTCCTTTAAGCATGTTTCCAATTTCAGTTCATTATGAACTGAACAAATATCAACTTCAGTTATCTTTGATAAAAAAAAAAACAATTTTAGATTACAAAGCTTTCCATTTGGTTTTTAATTCGATTAAAATAATTTGATAAGTTTCGCGCTTCACTATGTTAGCTAAACTTGTTAAATATAATACTAAACTTACCCTAGCAACACTCATTTCTATATTTTTAAATATTTGTTATTAGAATATTATAAAAGTTTGGCTTTTAATATATATATATATATATATATATAATTCCATAATTTCATAAAATTAGACTTTGCCAGCCTAGTTTTATCACAGCAGGCATGGGTCATTTCTAACTAATATTGTGCAGATATATATCTATATCAATTATTATAAAGTTAATGCGTATTTTTTTGGTGCACAGCTTAGTTTTTGTTATGATCGCTCATTTCGCATGGCTGCAATTATCAAAGGCTTTGGGCTGTGACAAGTTGCCAGCCGTAGCAGCTGCTCTATATTTGTAAATTTGTATATAAATACATAATATACATTATTATTTTATTCGTTTGCAGCTATTGTTGTTGTCTCTATGTTGTTTTCGACATTTTAAACAGATGACGCAATAATCGGGGCAACAGCATGCAATTATTTCCGTAGAGCGAAAACATTTTCGGCATTCGCTTGCCCAATCTCACTTTGCACTTTGGCTAAAGCATTGCATAGATGGATACTATGTTTAGGTGAAACTATGGCAAGGCTAGGAATTTGTGATCGAACTTGTTGACAATTGTTGTGTCTGGCCTTGAACATTCGCACAAGCCACAAGGCTATTTCAGTACCACAAACAGTATCGGCAGAATAATCAGATTATGTTGTTATGTGATTTGGGTCTCATGATGCGGTTCGCTAACCGCCTCAAATGCGAGCCTAACACGATTTTGCTGACGTCTCCTACGCCTTGATTTATGCAATGAATTTTCAATCGCTGCTGCTTCAAATGTCATTAACCAGAAATAGCTGCAAGTGCAGACGCATCTCATTGACTGGCTGACTGAATCGCATAAATCAATCAGGGAGTGCACAGCGTCATACACGTCAAAGATAAATTGTAAATGTGCATGCCCGACTTGAATATACCCTGTAACAAAAAAGTGTGCAAACAATGGTAAAGTAAGTTGTCTAAGTGTTCCTCTTACTTTGATAATTTGTTCCTTTCCATTTGAAAGGTGAATCTGTAGACGTGAATATGTCGCAGCTCTTGAACAGTAAAAGATATAATTTGTCTTCGATTTGCCAAACCTAGACCCTTTATCATGCGAGGGTATGAAGAGATATTTCAAGATTTAAGTCCCTACATGAAATACCTGAAGTACTCCATAAAATTAATTATTTTATTTAAATTGAAAAGAAAATTATTTTTGTTTATATTTGTTTGCCAACAAATTGTTGATAATCACAGAGATAGCTAAATACAAATCTTCAGTGCGTTTGATAAGATTAAAAAAGTTGTTGCAGTCGCATTTAGACTTTAATACCATGTTGAATGGGGCTCAGTGAAACATGTCCATAACACAGGCATTGTGGCTTAGGTATAATTAGAAAATCAATTTCATATTGTTCTTTGTGCTTAATGCCGAAGCAGCGCCAGAAGAAACAATATATAGTGTGGGGGACAGATTTCTTAAGAACTTAAGAACTCTTATAAATATTTAAGAATCAAGCTAATAGCAGACCCAGTTATAAGCTGAAGGCGAACGAATGAATAAAGTGGGCGACACATATAGAGGAGGCCGGTAGGGAGATGGGTAGGGAACCACTTCATCGTACGTACCCCTCTGGGCAACTAGTTGCCGGCGCAAAATGACATGTTCGACTGCGACGCCTCCTTTGTGCGCCTGTTACCTGAACAGGTGGTAATATTAGACTGCGTCATTTGTTTTCATTGCTGTCAGTATAAATATGGTTGTTGCTGCTGCCCGTTATTAATGTATTCGCTTTTATTGTCAGGATCATTTAAAAGTCTGCCGTAGATAAAAAGATGCTTAATGACAGACAGAGAGAGAGTGGTGTAGGGAAAGATGAAGGCAGAGAGACGCAAAGACATGATAGCAATTAAGTGACTTTTGTATTTTATTTAAGCATTGCAGCTGCATAAAACTGTTCACCTAAACTTCCATCAGCTTTTATTTTAACGATCCACAAGAACTTAAAGTTTTTATAGCCGCTACCCCTAAAGCATTTATGTGTATATTATGACAGGAAAAACTAGTTAAGCAATGGATATTTTAGTATGAATATATGCGTATAAATATATATGTTTATTATACTATTATATATATATTATATCACATATTGATATATATATATATATAGCTCTAGTTGTAGGCCTCATTTTCTATTATACTTCACAAATAAAAGGATTATTCAAGGAAAGAGAAAGAGACAGCCCTTATAAAATATATATGCTATTGATCAGGATTTATTCTTCGTATAATACAAAGCTTGAAATTTAAAATATTCATTCTTTTAGATATCATGTATTTTTTATTATCATGTAACAACGATATTCTAACTTGGTTTTCAGTGCTTAATAGAAAGACAGAGTAAATTTAGTATGAAGAATCTTGTAATATATATACAGCTTATAAATATTACAGATTGTCATTATATCAACCAATTTCTCCCAAAATCATTTTTAAAAATTATGTTACAAACATGTATCCTAGCCGCAGCTCTTCAATAAGTTATCTACCTTTGGGGAGGCTGTAGGAAGATAAAGCGCAGTCGCTGTGAATGCATGTGATTTTGTGTATATATTGATTGTCCTATAGCCGAAAATTTCAGACTCTGGGACTATTACATGCTTTGACTTGCTCTATCAACAGTTGAGTTATTGTTTGACTAATTGTAAGCGAACTTTTGTCCATTTCGTTTCCTGCAGACGATTTCACTGCAGCAGCGCAATTTCAAGCAGAAAATTGTCGCACTGCTGAAGCGTTTCAAGGCCAGCGGAGAGCTGGAGGATGAAACACATAGTGGCACAGCTGCATTGCGTGGCGAACGCGACTTGGATGCACTCTTTCAGGAGCTGGAGTCACTTTCCTGCTGCGAGGGCGATGATTCCGGGCCGGACATGGATAGCATATCGATTGGGTCGACGCCGAAGCCATCGCTGCGTCCGTTCTTCACCAACTCGCGAATCATGCTGCACGACAGTCTCTCGGGCAATGGCAGCGGCGCCCTAGGCAGCGGCATTGGCGGTGCAACGGGTAAGTTCCTATGTACATACATACATATTTAATCCTGTTGGTTGTGTTTGTTGTTGCTATCGTTGTTGCATTTTCACGGGAGCATTGCTCAAGTAATTTCAAAGTATTTGACGAGCTGCCTTCTCTTGATATTTGTATTACTTTGTGACGTAACATTTGAAATACCTACACTACTGTATTTCCGTTTGTGATTGAGAGACGATAAACTGCTTTCTGCCGAAAAGCAAGCAACAGTATTTTTTCATGCACATCTCGAAAAACGAGCATGTAGTTGTCTGCTTTCTTTAAATGCCTATTGAAAGTTTTATAAATGGGGTAGATTATTAATGTAAAAATATATGTAGACGACAGAAGAAGGAATGTCGGATGCCTGTCCTTCTGAACATCCGCTAGCTTACGAAATACGTGAATAAAAAATATTAAACACTTCGCAGACCCTGCCCATATCCTCAAAAATGTTTAAATGCGAGGTATTACCTATTCGTGCATACAGACTAGTTCAGTGTGACTTGTTTTTGCCAGTTTTCGGTCAAGGCAACGATTGGTGCGAAAATAAACAGCAGCACGTTTTGTACACACACAATTACGCATATACAGATACTCACACAATTACAAGGTCACTAAGAAACATAAAGAGAGCGCGAGAGAGAGAGAGAGAGAGAGAGAGAGACAAAAATTGGATGGGCTTGTAAAAGACTTACTTGCAGTCAATACAGTGGACCATTTGTCCAATTGTGACAGTTATATATTGTACATACATGTGTAAATACATATACATACATGAACACCGATACACATTTAACACACATACATACATGGCTATGTATCTATGAAGAAAGGCCCGAAAGGGCGCCATGGGAAGGGAGCGTAATTGGAGGCAATGCAATTACAATTAATTTTGATTTCTTGTTTGATTTTGTCAATTGTATTTTTAATTAACTACCTAAGTACTGACACTTATCGATTGGAAAGCTTAATTGTTTCCTATATTTATATTTAATACACAAACAAAGAAAAACCAAAACATTTTGCATGGCTTGTACAAATTTCTTTTGCAGGAAACTCTGAGCGCCGATCATCGGATAAGAGCGACCAATTGACCAATTCATCTTACAATATTGAATATAACAAAAACCAAAAAAGCATTCATTTAACAAACAATAATAATTCGGCTACAACACCAGGTCTGTGTAAACTGCAGCAAATCAAATAAAAACAAAAACAAAAATTATGAAAACCCACACTTAATACCCTAGAACCGTATAACACTAATAATTTAAATTCCTATCCAAATCCAACTTCCGACCCTCAGCTACAACATACTCAATTTACACCTATTTCCTGCACACACCAGCCCTACCTAATCAGAAAAAGTACAAGGCACGTTTGATATATGAGTTGACTGATTGACTGACAGACCTACTATGCCTTTACGAGCTCAAACTTATGCCAGTGACCATATCCAATGTGCACTGTACTTGCGCAAGCAAACAAACACATTAATAACTTCTGATTTGTTATGTTTATTTTTAAAATTGAAATCCTTGGCCTGCCGCCCCGTTACGCACGCCCTTGCTCACATACACACACATGCACACAAAACTTAACTCACACGCACACGCACACACATAGCCAGGCTTACATGTAAATGCTATTGCACTTGAATATGCAGAGCTTACATTGACAATGTGACCGTACATCGGCTGCTGTTATTGCATGAGTTAAAAGTGCTGTAAATGTTGTGACGTCATAAAAATGCAAATGAGCCGTAGGAATGTACAGGAAACGAAATAAGAATTCATGCTGTCTTATAAAGAGAGTATTATTGAAAAAGAAATACATAAGCTATGCATGCCATGCTCGAGCGCTTTTAGCCCAACAAAAAGAAACAGAACATAAATTGATTCATGAGTTTATTTTGAGCTACTTTTTTGTTTCAATTAATAACACACTAAAAATACATTACACGCATCCTCAATCACTACGTCAATGCTACTGGCCATTTGCCACCTCTCCTTTAGCCTTTTCATTGCATGTGTAGTCTTGTCCCCCCATTGAGATTAATTGCGACACTGCTAAGAAAATTCAAGTGGAACACGCTATACAAATATAAATAAAACACAATCGAAAGGTGCTTAACCAGCATACACCTTATGTATGTACATATGTACATATGTGCTGGAACTAGTAAAAAGTCATGACTATCTATATATGTACGAACGTCGCATTTATTATTTATTTACCAATTTACCGTCGTCACTACGCACTACGCACTAGAACACCTTGGAATGAACTACCTATATATATGCGGACTCATCAGCAAGAGTCAGTTGTTGCGCAGTGCGGTTCAGAAAAAGGGGATGGGGGCGTATGTTGCCTTTTCAAATCATAGCATGCATGCATTCTAATAGCTTTTCTCTTTTGATCAATCGAGTTTTAGTGCACCTCACCTCGTTCAATATATCCTAAACTCCCCCTATATGAAGTGCGAATAGAATATTGATTGATATCTAACTTATCCAATTGCTATTTACTCCCTTCACAGATCGTGCTGGCAACGATAGTTCCGGCAATGAAGGCAATGCTGGGTACACCGATGGCCAGAACTCCGATCCCCAAAACAGTCCACCCAGAGACAAGGATTTCATGCGCCAGCAAGGATATCAGCAACTGACACCAGTCAGCTCGGTCACGGGCAACATGAACAGCATTAGCCCAGCGCAGGTGCAGACAGAGAAGCGTTCGCGCCTCTTTCGCACGTCAAGCAATACGGTGGCTCTAGGTAGTGCAGCCGGCGCGAGCATTGGGAGCAACAGCAATGCTGCGGGCAAACGAAAGCACACTCTTAGCTTGAGCGCCGAGCCGCGTTCAGCGCTGGAGGCTTGCCTGTCGCCCACAAATGTAGAGCCGCGAAAGCTGCTGCTGGATCAGCTAAGCCGCGTGTTTGCGGGTGAAGATAATGTTATACCCGAGGTGGTGACCATCATTAGTCCGCCTGAGGCTCTGGGCGGTAGTACACTGCTGGCTAAGCTCGTCACGTTGTTTGCCAATTCTTTTAAGCCGGCATTTGTGCCACAAAATACGGCCGAGGTCAAGGCTGTGCTCCAGGCGCTAATGGCCAAGATCCAAAAGTAGTAAGTGGATATCCCAATATTAGTTGAAGCCACAACCATTTCACGTCTTTCTCTTCTCCAATCAGTTGCAACTCGAACGCCAAGCCACCGCACACGGTAAAGGTGCTCCTAATTGGCGGCGACTGGCTGCAGGGCGCAACTCTGCGACATTACGTGGAACTGCTGGGCGTGCGTCCTCCCGACTGGCTAAATCACTTACGCTTCTACCTGGTGCCCATTGGCGGTGGCAGCAGCAACGGCAGCGTAGCCCGTCATCTTAGCCAAATGGATCAGGCGTATGCCGCCATGTTTGGCTCCGAGAACTGGTCGCAGTTGTGCGAACGCGCAGCAGCCACAGCGGCCGCAGTCAGTGCCGTAACCACAGTCAATGCCACAGCTCTGACTGCCAATCTGGCTGATGCAGCGGCCGTAGCAAAGTCAGACATTGCGGAGCTGGTGCAGCGTATACAACGCTATCTGCATGCGGCAGGGCCATGCACACAGATACCAATTGCCGAAGCCATGGTCAACTATAAGGACGAGGACTCGTGTCAAATCTTTGTGCCCTTTGTCAGCGTATGTACAGCAGTCATTCAAGTTTATGTGGTATCATATTTACCTTTTATTTCTGCTGCAGGACGTACGCATTGGCTATTTGGATACACAAGCCTCGCTGGACCTGGAGGAAAACACCGCGTCTAATATGACTGGCAGCGGTGGCAGCGGCGGCTCAACAAACGCTTCTAGCGTGCCCATACCCATCGGTAATCAGAGCACACCCAGTATGCATGGTGGTATATCGGGATCGCCGCCGCAGTCACAGCAGCTACAACAAGGAGGCCAGGGTATGGGGCGCGTTTCGCCACCGCTGCAGACGACGCCAGCGTCAGGCTCAACGCATCGTGAGCGGGGCGCCAATGAGGCACTGACAACGCCCTCTTCCATGCAATCGCAGACCTTAAGTGGAGCGCTGTCTGCAGCAGAAGCCGTGGAACTACAAATAGACTATTGGCCGCTGGTGAGGCACGGTGAGATTCATGCCAAGGAGTCAAAGAGTGGCATGTCGCGTGGCAGTGACTCGGGCGGCGGCAAGAATAGCATTAAGAGTACGTTTAGGAATCTGCAGGTGTGGCGCCTGCCACAGAGTGCACAGCAAATGGGTGATATGTCCAATGGACTGACTGTTAGTTTCGCTACCAAGGAGAAGAAGCAAAAGCAAAGTAAGTGTCGCTCGGGCTAAACAATATTATGGACTACTACAGTCAAAATTCATTTACAGTTATGCGTTTGGGCAAGAAAAAGGACAAGGAGCGTGATCTCGAGAAGGAGCAGTGCGTCGAGGGTGTGGCCCGTCTAATATGCTCACCCAAGCAGTCACATCCCGTGCCCTTGCGTGGTAAGTCTTATTGTTCGCTTATGAGATTTATAATGCTCACTTTGTTGTATCCACAGTTTATATTGACGGCACCGAGTGGACTGGCGTAAAATTCTTCCAGTTATCGTCGCAGTGGCAAACTCATGTTAAGAACTTTCCCATTGCCCTTATCGGCTGTACGCCCATGTCGTGTGCCGAATAAACCTAGTCAAACAAATATCCAATGCCCATTTTCATGAAAACTCGCTAAAAACGCGTACAGACACATGCATACATACATAGAGCAAGGGAGCCGTACAGATGAACGGCAATTAATATTATTTACTAAGAAGAATGATAATTTATTTTATAGTTAATATTTGTAAATTTTTAGTTAATAAAATATGTTTAGGTTCTAATGTTCTGTTAAGTCAAGAAAACGCAAATTTTGTGATTTTATCAAAAACTTTCGATTTTTGACACAAGCATCACACATCAATATTTAATAACTAAATAATTATTATACATAGTGAAATTATGAAATCGAAACGTTTAACACTTGATCAAATTAACGCGTATCAAATATCCTGTACAAGTAAACTTTATCTATGTAGTTGCAGTTGCAAGAAATGAATTTCTCAAATCAAGTTTGTTAACCAGTTGGCCAAATGGTTTCGATTACAAACTGTTTTTAGATAAGCTTGTTCTTCAATCTAAGCAGGTGCTATACAAGAGTTGGGAGCATTGCCTGAAGAAGGGCTCTGGATTAGGCCACATGATCTCAAGCTCTCTGCTCTTCCCATGGCAACAGCGGAATGTAGTATACTCTGGCATTATCTAAACTAAACAAAACTATCTTAAATATATAGAATATTCAGCAAACTCTAACTACAACTGCTTAGCAATGTGAATGCATATTTAACCAACCCGTCTATATACTATCTAAATTCAAACATCTGTATGTGCAACTAAATATCTACTTATACAATATATATATATATATATACCTATCTAATCAGCATATTCTAACATATGTACTACTCTTATTGTTGTGATTTTTCAAAAATTCATAGTGTGAGCAGTCGATGCAGAGATTGAGCAAGTTAATATACACAATACACTATATAGAAAAGATATGTAATGAATCTGTTTCAAAAACAATGTACTAATGGGGTGCGAACGTTAATCAATTTAAGATGAATGTCAAAAGCGTTGAGAATGAGTGCGAAATACCGTAAATTAAATCAAATATAAGATGTGTAATTTATAATTGTATTATTAAATATATATATATACATATATATAACATTTCAAGACAGATCGAAAGATGTTTTATTTCTTATGAAGACCGAGTCATTACAATTATAGCATTAAAAGACTTGAACCATTTGATATGGCAGATTGGTGACTACAATTGAGCGCTTTCTCAGTCCTAGGTCACCGTCAATGCCGCCAGGGGGCAAAAGAAATGTGAGGTCTTCGTGACCCTTAGGATGCGCAAATTCCACAAGATTGGCATTGCTATCGCTTAAGGCAACCAAGGACCAAACAGCTAGGTTACGTGTCTTACCATGGCGTGCCACCACGTAGAACTGCAAAAAGGTCAAGTTAATCGCATGTTTATACCATAATTCACTAAACACTCACCTCATTCTGATCATCAATTAGGTATCCCACAATAAGTGCCCAGTGAGCGCGGTGGCCAGATCTTTGGCAGGGCGCATGATTGACGTCGGCATCATACCTGAATATTCAAGATATATATCTAGATTTAAGGTCAACCAAAAGTTTGGAACAAACGCACTCAATTGAGACACACAATCTGTAGCACTTTATTTAAAGCAATTAAATACAATAAGAAAAAATGCAGCATTCCTAATAAACACCGTGTGACAGTTCATCTAATCCTGTCACCGTCTATCCCTCTAGCCCACTCGCATAGGAGGGGACACCAATATAACGCCGTCCCCCCGCACAAACAGCATGGGTATAGTGCGTTTTGTAGTTTTGTACACCTCTTCGTATGTTTCTTCATCGATTTCAACGGTGGTTACTGTTTCCTCAGCATCGCCTAGCACCATATTCAAATGCTGATCAAAGGCGTGTAGGCGTCCTCTCAACTCCCGCTCATTGCGCATTTTTACGTACACCTTCTCATCCAAGCTCAGGCGAATTAGGTCTAGCGGCTCTTTGACCGGCAGTATTACCTGGCTAAGCTGCAAGCACACAAGTTAGTTCTATAATTAAATAATAGGCATATTCACATACTTGCTCCTCTTCAGTTGCCATTTAAAAAAACACGAATTCAATACCAATTTATCAAATATTAACAAATTACTAAAATATTGTGAAAACCGTGTTTTGTTTTTGTGTTCTCTTTAAAGCACTAAATAATACCAAAAGTTAGTATATTGTGGGTAGCACTACACGCGTTACCAGTGCGACCCATAAAATATATTTCAAAATACATACTGAATGAATATGTGGGCAAAATATTGTTTGAAAAAGGATACGGAACCAATAAACACGCTCCAGCATACAGTTGGTCCTTGATCTTATCACAATCTAAAGAGCCTTCGTGAAATTGGCATTCTAATGGGCTGTTTATATGCTTCTTCACCAATTCGAATAAATATAGAGCACTGAACATTTCACCATTTTTTGTGTACTTTTGTGTACTGGCATCTGCAAGCAATTCCGTAGCTGTTGTCTGCCCATTAAGTAACATACTTAGAGCTGTTAATCCACAGGTGGGCCCTATCTGTAATTGTATGTTTAAAATGCACATCTTTACATATTGTACGAATCTGAGTTGCTAACTTGTAGGATGCTTGAGATGATAGTATATTGGCATCTCTTGGGTTGTGTGTATTGGCATACACGACTAAGAAAACAACCTTTCTGCAGGTCCGGATAGTCCGTTGCCCAGCTGCACTCATCGTTGGTCGTTATTCGAACCGCAGCAATGGTTACGCTATCTTTTTCTGAAAATGTCCGGCAACTATTCGTTATCGCCGGTGGCGGGGGCGGCGGGAATGGCGAAACAGACGCGGATTCCGACATTTTGGACCAGAATTCAGTCACTAAATTATTGCACGGAACTAAGAAACATTCAATACGAAGTCAACAGCTGATTTAAAGTGATTGGCAACACTTTTTTAATATGATCATGCCAACTTGCTTAAAAAACGAATGAGTTTTAGAGACCGTCAAAACTATTTATATATCGACGCCTACTAAGGGCCTGGCAAACCGGATATAGTGCTTTGCATATTGGCGCTAGAGACCTGATATTTTTTAGATATTTTATAAGCTTAAGTAAATACAGATGCAAGCTATGTAGTATTTGTATGAAGTATCTCTCAGTGGGACACTTTTTTCTTTTTATTGTCTTTTTATCAACAATTACAAGCAATATGAAAATGATCAATCAAATTTAAAAAAATATATCTATAAAAATATTTAACTGGAGTAACCCCAATTTTTTGGACTGCGACAATCCTCGTCCAGAACTATACAAACATCAGTAACGTCTGAACCTTGTTCATCGAAATACTTCACTGCCAACTTTGCAGCTAGCTTAAAGGCGTCTTCCACACGTCGGCTATCCCGTGCTGCGATCTCGAAATAGGGTATATTGTTGTTCAGTTGACACCATTGACGAACATGCTCTGTTGATACCTTAATTGGGAAATGAATAAATATCTTAAACAATATTTTTAACTCAGATGCTGTTACACACATTCTGTTTATCAAGATCAGTTTTATTTCCAATGACAACAAATGGAAACCGAGTGGTATCCATTGGACTTATATGCCTTAAGAATTCTTTGTGCCACATGTTTACTTTTTTAAATGAGTTTCGCTCAGTCACATCATACACGAGCATGCAGCAATCAGTGTTGCGGAACATGCAAGTGGTAACCTTTTGGAACCGCTCCTCTCCAGCCGTGTCCCAAATCTCGAAACAAAAAAACCGTGAGCTTATATAAAAGCTTAAACTTAGAATTACAACTAACCTGTACGGGAACTATGCGATCATTAATATTGACATGTTTCGTACAGAAGTCCACTCCAATTGTTGCTTGGCAACTGTTCGTAAATCGTTCATTAAAATAACTCTTAATCAAAGTCGATTTTCCAACGCCGCTATCTCCCAAAACTAGGATCTTAGGTGATCGGGTTGTTGCAGCAGTCATCCTGATTTGGAAATAAGTTTGAGATTTATCTTTAATTGTGTGATGTTACAATTGAAATTCTTTATACAGATTCTGCCTCTGAGTAAAGAGTATATCAGGAAAGCATACTGTTATGGTGGATGGGAATGAATGCTTATATCTGCAAATTCGAATAATAGAGGGTAATATTCGGCTGGGCTCTGACTCTAGTTCTCTTAGAAGATTCCGTAAAATATTCTAGCATTTAATAATCATTATTTAAGGAAAGCACAATCTTTGTTCAGGGTATTTTGTAGTGTTGCACTCCGGACTCCAGTAGACTGACTGCTTAAAAAATTATATTAAATATTAAGGGCAAGTCTCTGGCAGCTTTCTTTCTAGTTTCACGTACACGAATACGGGGTAAGAAATTTGTTATAAATGAAGCTCTTTTTGGCAGGAGTACTCAATATAAACTGACTGCAATTCACATTGATTATTCAGCAAACCCCAAGCTCGGGGAAATTCATATCTTAACAACCATATATTTACATTCTTCAACTTATTTACTTCATAACTATCTCCCCTAAAGATTGATTAACAACTTGGGCTGTAAACCACTTCCATACAGTCCGTTCCCACCTGAACATATATCGATAAAGATTATAAGAAAAAGTTTACCTCTTAATATTACCGCAAAACTGAAATATTACTCTACATTAATTTAATTCAATTCAATTTATACATTTTTAGTTACTGTACTATATGGTAATTATGAAAATTATATAATATATAGTATACACAAATGTTGTGTACGAATTACCAAAAAAATCAATTTTAATTACAATAAAAATTTATATTTTTATTGAATTCACAATCACAAAAATATTTTTGTTTCTTTTTTTCAAGATAATTTCTGATGTTTGTTTCTTGCCGTCAGATATGAGGCACTGCCCCAAACTTCCCCTTGCTTAATTGTTTGTTTTTAGTCAGTCAATCTACTGTATAACTACTTCTCCAATTTTATAAATCTCTTTTTATTTGACAATTGTTTATTGCACTTTCCGCTTCTGTCATACGTATGCAGACTTGTTATCAACAATTATAGAAACAAATGTAATGTAGTTAAAAACAAATGAAGTTTAAAAAGTGCCCCTAAAGAGATGTTAGATGATTAATCGCTTATTTAATTGCACGCGCAATGTTTTTTTGCACTGCGACCATCCACTTCTAGAACTGTAGGAATATCTGCAGCGAATTGCACCTGTTCCTCCGCATAGTCTAATGCTAACTTTGCAGCTATTTTGAAAGCGTCTTCCACACGTCGACCATCGTTTGCTGAGACCTCGAAATGGGGTATATTGTTGTTCAGTTGACACCAGTTCCGTACACTCTCAGCTGATACCTGAAATTTAATAAATATAATTATTTAAAATTGGAAAATATTATGTGGAACTCATTTTTTGTGTAACGCACATTATATTGACCAAGATCGGCTTTGTTTCCAATGACGACAAAGGGAATCCGAGCGGTATCCATTGGGTTGACCTGTTTTAGGAATTCTGAGTGCCACATCTCTAAGTTTGTAAATGAGCTTGAGGAACTAACATCGTAGACGAGGACACAGCAATCCGTACCGCGAAACATGCTTGTCGTGATAGACAGGAATCGCTCCATACCAGCTGTGTCCCAAATCTTGAAGCAACGAAATCAGTGAACTTTCGCCGAAACTTAAACTGTGAATTGTCGCTTACCTGCACTCGGACTATGCGATCATTGATATTGACATGTTTAGTACAGAAGTCCACTCCAATTGTTGCTTGGTAACTGTTCGTAAATCGTTCATTAAAATAACTCTTAATCAAAGTCGATTTTCCAACGCCGCTATCTCCCAAAACTAGGATCTTATGAATACGATTCGACTTGAGGGCCATGTTATCTAAAAAGTAAAACGTGTCTGATCAATATACATTTACCTAGAACCTCACCTATAAGTTTGGTGTCTATAGGTTTTATAATTCTCAAGGTAACGTTAAAATTCTGCCCGACAGACTATTAAACACTTGTGCAGGGATCAAGAATGTCTGAGTATAAAGATTCTTCAGAGTGGACTAAAACGGAGAAATAGGAAAATTTATATTTCCATTTTGGCCTATACATATATCCTTCCATTGGAAAACAAGATCCAGAGTGTGAAGTTTTCAATGGCTGTGGAGAAGCTTCAATTTCAAATTTAATTGTTCGATCAGGGCAATACCTAATTTTCATTTCATTATAACTTTATATCTGAACAGCTACTGCCGAACGCAATCTGAAATTGATATAATATATTATTCGTCCAGTGACTGTGATATTGAGGAAAATAGCAGTAAGTCTTGGAATGTTTTTAAAACTCATAGCATTAGTTCCCTACATGATTATTACTCACTGCTCGAATTTAAAAAATAAATAAAAATTGATTTTGAATTGCACACAACTCAAAGTTAATATTTGTATTATTACATATTTGTATTATTACATATATAGAAGGATGGCATTAGTTTATGAATTAGTTTAATTTTATAGCTGACCAAACTGTTGCTTACCTTATTAACTAATTAGAACAGAAATATTACGGACTTCCAATGTTTCTTATTCCACTAGTAGCTGCAATACTCTTTTAATAACTAATCCGCAATAACTTTCTTTTACAGATTCTACCTCTGAGTAAGGCGGGAGAGAGCTTCCGTAGTGTAGATGTATAACATTTTATCAGGAAACCAAAGCTTTGTGGTCGAGGGCCACGAAGGTACAATGAGTGTAATCACACCCGCAAACTCGAATATAATGTTTCTTAGGTATGTATAGTGGTCTACATTTCTCGCAGATGAGTAAATAACATATTACAGTACTTACACTTTAACATTTAAAAATATATAAATAAAAAGTCCGACCTGGGAAAGATTTAGTCATTTAATAGATCTGAAAATTTAATTATATTTTTTACTGCTTACAAGTCATGGAGTATTTATGGAAGGTTTCTCTAAAAATACATTGAACATTTTTCATAGGCTGAGAGCTAAATAAATAATTAATGAATTTGGCTACTTTTGGTGAAGTATTTATTAGACATATATTAATTTCGCACTGATCGCTATTGATGATGATTTTTTGATCACGGCGGAAATTCTGGGAAGAAATAATATTTTTCAAGTTATTCAATTCAATCTATACATCTTTAGTTAACGTATTTATTTTACACAAAAGTTGCTTATGAATTATAATACTGTAGGTCGTACAAAATGAATTTATCGCCCAAATTATTAGTTTTGTATATAAAATTAATTACAATAAAAATGTATATTTTTATTTTATTAAATTTACAATCACAAGAATATTTTGGTTTTTGCCAAGATAATTCCTGGTGGTTATTTATTCGATATCAATCTATGTCGCGCTTCTGCCGTCGAAATCTATGTTTATAAGTTCAATTTTATTTATCAATTGTTTATTGCACTTTCCTCTGCTTTTATACTTATGCAGTCTTGTTATAAGCAATTAGAAAAAAAATTTAATGTGTTTTTAAAAAAATGAATATTTGTCGTATATCCAACTGAATGAAATGAATTTGAAGTATCGAAAATATAACAGACATCTAAATTGTAAAAAATATACATAGAACTAAATACAAAAGTTAAAAGCTCAAGCTCTTAAGTCGTACGAGATATAATTTAATCATATTTCCGTTTCTGAAACTGAAGAACTATCCGCAACGATTGGTACCTGTTCCTCCGCATAGTCTAATGCCAACTTTGCAGCTATTTTGAAAGCGTCTTCCGCACATCGACCATCGTATGCTGAGACCTCGAAATGGGGTATATTGTTGTTCAGTTGACACCAGTTCCGTACACTCTCAGCTGATACCTGAAATTTAAAAAATATAATTATTTAAAATTGGAAAATATTACTTGGAATTTAATTTCTGTAACGCACATTACATTGAGCAAGATCGGCTTTATTTCCAATGACGACAAAGGGAAACCGAGCGGTATCCTTTGGATTGATTTGTTTTAGGATTTCAGTGTGCCTCTTCTCTAAGTTTGTAAATGTTTTAACCGAACTCACATCGTAGACGAGCACACAGCAATCCGTACCGCGGAATATGCTTTTTGTGACTGACCGCTCCATATAAGCTGTGTCCCAAATCTTGAAACAACTAATTCAGTGAACTTACGCTTAAGCTTAAACTCGAAATTGTCGCTTACCTGCACTCGGACTATGTGATCATTGATATTGACATGTTTTGTACAGGAGTCCACTCCAATTATTGCTTGGTAACTGTTCGTAATTCGATTGTTAAAATAATTCTTAATCAAAGTCGTTTTTCCAACGCCGCTATCTCCCAAAACTAGGATCTTAGGAATACGATTCGACTTGTGGGCCATGCTTTGATTTACTTAAAATCGGTCGTCAGTATGAATAAATTGGAAATCAAATCCTGATGTAATATATAATAAATATAAATCTATAATTATATATATATATATATATATAAAAATATAAACTGAATTTATAGATGATAATATGATGATATATCTGCACATCGAGATGATTGTATACTTTATATTACAATAGTATACCAATTTTTGGAAAGCCGAAGAAAATATCTAAAAAGTAAAGCATGTCTGATTAATATACCCTTAACAAGAACCTCATATATAAGTTTGATGCCTATAAGTCTTATAATCATCGAGGTCAATCAAACAAAAGCAAGAAAGACCGTTTCAACTTTAACGATAGACTATTGTAAATTAAGTGCGCTCGTCCGTTGCGATATTTTTTTTAAATTGATTTCAGCACTTGGTTAATCATCTTTCCAATGAAAAGATATCTATCGATGGCACCGCAAATGATCGCTGAATATTATAACAACGGTGAGAGAACAATATCTCTAAATTGGAACAATACACTTCGCCTATTGTTGAAGCATTATATTTCCTAACATGTTGGCATCCGCTTGAAGAACCCGATTTTGAGTGCACCAAACCAAGTTAACATTTTTATAATTATATTAGATACATAAAAGGATGGCCTAAGTTTATGGCTCTATCGGGAACTGTTAAGTTTATAGCTGACCAAACTTTTGCTTACCTTATTAATTAACTACAATAGAATATAAATATTACGGACTTCCCTAATTTCTTATTCCACTAGTAGCTTTGCTACAATGCTCTTTTAATAACTAATCCGCAATAACTTTCTTTTACAGATTCTACCTCTGAGTAAGGCGGGAGAGAGCTTTGGTAGTGTAGATATATAACATTTTATCAGGAAACCAAAGCTTTGTGGTCGAAGGCCACGAAGGTACAATGAGTGTAATCACACCCGCAAACTCGAATATAATGTTTCTTAGGTATGTATAGTGGTCTACATTTCTCGCAGCTGCGTAAATAACATATTATAGTACTTACACTTTTACATTTAAAAATATATAAATAAAAAGTCTGATCTTGGAGTTAGTCATTTAATAGATCTGAAAATATGATTATATATTTCACTGCTTATAAGTCATGGAGTACTGAAGGAATATTTATGGTAGGCTTCTCTAAAAATACATTGAAAAGTTTTGCATAAACTACGACTGAGAGCGAAAAAAATAATTAATGAATTTGGCTACGTTTTGATGGAGGAATTATCAGACATATATTAATTTCACACTGATCGTCATTGATGATAATTTTTTGATCTCGGCGGAAATTCGTGGAAGAGATATTTTTAAAGTTAATTGTTTCATAATTATATGCCCACAAGGTTGATTAATAATGTTCATGCCAAAAACTCTTACCATTAAAATATATATCTCATACAGTTTTAAATTTTACTTCCAAATGTTAAAATGTAAACTAGTTTCATACAGTCCATTCCCACCTCAACATACATCGATATAGATTATAAAGAAAAAGTTTAACTCTAAATGTTTCCGTAAAACTGAAATATTGCTCCACATTCATTCAATTCCGAACTATTGTCAAAAGGGTTCAGAACAGAGCAACTCAATTTATACATCTTTAGTTAACGTACTGAATGTTTGTAGATTTTAGCATTGTTTATTATACAAATTAAACCAAAGGCATGAAGATGTTAAATAAAAAGTATGTGAAAATTACATAATATGTAGTATACACAAAGTTTGTATACGAATTACCAAAGGAAGCAATTTATAATACTCTAGGCCTTACAAAATGAATTTATCGCCCAAACTTATTAGTTTTGAGGCCGAATCTAAGCTGAGCCAATAAAGTGCCGTTCGCAACGAATGTTCTGAATAGTATATAAAATTAATAGTATATAAAATTTTATAATTCTCAAGGTAACGTTAAAATTCTGCCCGACAGACTATTAAACACTTGTGCAGGGATCAAGAATGTCTGAGTATAAAGATTCTTCAGAGTGGACTAAAACGGAGAAATAGGAAAATTTATATTTCCATTTTGGCCTATACATATATCCTTCCATTGGAAAACAAGATCCAGAGTGTGAAGTTTTCAATGGCTGTGGAGAAGCTTCAATTTCAAATTTAATTGTTCGATCAGGGCAATACCTAATTTTCATTTCATTATAACTTTATATCTGAACAGCTACTGCCGAACGCAATCTGAAATTGATATAATATATTATTCGTCCAGTGACTGTGATATTGAGGAAAATAGCAGTAAGTCTTGGAATGTTTTTAAAACTCATAGCATTAGTTCCCTACATGATTATTACTCACTGCTCGAATTTAAAAAATAAATAAAAATTGATTTTGAATTGCACACAACTCAAAGTTAATATTTGTATTATTACATATTTGTATTATTACATATATAGAAGGATGGCATTAGTTTATGAATTAGTTTAATTTTATAGCTGACCAAACTGTTGCTTACCTTATTAACTAATTAGAACAGAAATATTACGGACTTCCAATGTTTCTTATTCCACTAGTAGCTGCAATACTCTTTTAATAACTAATCCGCAATAACTTTCTTTTACAGATTCTACCTCTGAGTAAGGCGGGAGAGAGCTTCCGTAGTGTAGATGTATAACATTTTATCAGGAAACCAAAGCTTTGTGGTCGAGGGCCACGAAGGTACAATGAGTGTAATCACACCCGCAAACTCGAATATAATGTTTCTTAGGTATGTATAGTGGTCTACATTTCTCGCAGATGAGTAAATAACATATTACAGTACTTACACTTTAACATTTAAAAATATATAAATAAAAAGTCCGACCTGGGAAAGATTTAGTCATTTAATAGATCTGAAAATTTAATTATATTTTTTACTGCTTACAAGTCATGGAGTATTTATGGAAGGTTTCTCTAAAAATACATTGAACATTTTTCATAGGCTGAGAGCTAAATAAATAATTAATGAATTTGGCTACTTTTGATGAAGTATTTATTAGACATATATTAATTTCGCACTGATCGCTATTGATGATGATTTTTTGATCACGGCGGAAATTCTGGGAAGAAATAATATTTTTCAAGTTATTCAATTCAATCTATACATCTTTAGTTAACGTATTTATTTTACACAAAAGTTGCTTATGAATTATAATACTGTAGGTCGTACAAAATGAATTTATCGCCCAAATTATTAGTTTTGTATATAAAATTAATTACAATAAAAATGTATATTTTTATTTTATTAAATTTACAATCACAAGAATATTTTGGTTTTTGCCAAGATAATTCCTGGTGGTTATTTATTCGATATCAATCTATGTCGCGCTTCTGCCGTCGAAATCTATGTTTATAAGTTCAATTTTATTTATCAATTGTTTATTGCACTTTCCTCTGCTTTTATACTTATGCAGTCTTGTTATAAGCAATTAGAAAAAAAATTTAATGTGTTTTTAAAAAAATGAATATTTGTCGTATATCCAACTGAATGAAATGAATTTGAAGTATCGAAAATATAACAGACATCTAAATTGTAAAAAATATACATAGAACTAAATACAAAAGTTAAAAGCTCAAGCTCTTAAGTCGTACGAGATATAATTTAATCATATTTCCGTTTCTGAAACTGAAGAACTATCCGCAACGATTGGTACCTGTTCCTCCGCATAGTCTAATGCCAACTTTGCAGCTATTTTGAAAGCGTCTTCCGCACATCGACCATCGTATGCTGAGACCTCGAAATGGGGTATATTGTTGTTCAGTTGACACCAGTTCCGTACACTCTCAGCTGATACCTGAAATTTAAAAAATATAATTATTTAAAATTGGAAAATATTACTTGGAATTTAATTTCTGTAACGCACATTACATTGAGCAAGATCGGCTTTATTTCCAATGACGACAAAGGGAAACCGAGCGGTATCCTTTGGATTGATTTGTTTTAGGATTTCAGTGTGCCTCTTCTCTAAGTTTGTAAATGTTTTAACCGAACTCACATCGTAGACGAGCACACAGCAATCCGTACCGCGGAATATGCTTTTTGTGACTGACCGCTCCATATAAGCTGTGTCCCAAATCTTGAAACAACTAATTCAGTGAACTTACGCTTAAGCTTAAACTCGAAATTGTCGCTTACCTGCACTCGGACTATGTGATCATTGATATTGACATGTTTTGTACAGGAGTCCACTCCAATTATTGCTTGGTAACTGTTCGTAATTCGATTGTTAAAATAATTCTTAATCAAAGTCGTTTTTCCAACGCCGCTATCTCCCAAAACTAGGATCTTAGGAATACGATTCGACTTGTGGGCCATGCTTTGATTTACTTAAAATCGGTCGTCAGTATGAATAAATTGGAAATCAAATCCTGATGTAATATATAATAAATATAAATCTATAATTATATATATATATATATATATAAAAATATAAACTGAATTTATAGATGATAATATGATGATATATCTGCACATCGAGATGATTGTATACTTTATATTACAATAGTATACCAATTTTTGGAAAGCCGAAGAAAATATCTAAAAAGTAAAGCATGTCTGATTAATATACCCTTAACAAGAACCTCATATATAAGTTTGATGCCTATAAGTCTTATAATCATCGAGGTCAATCAAACAAAAGCAAGAAAGACCGTTTCAACTTTAACGATAGACTATTGTAAATTAAGTGCGCTCGTCCGTTGCGATATTTTTTTTAAATTAATTTCAGCACTTGGTTAATCATCTTTCCAATGAAAAGATATCTATCGATGGCACCGCAAATGATCGCTGAATATTATAACAACGGTGAGAGAACAATATCTCTAAATTGGAACAATACACTTCGCCTATTGTTGAAGCATTATATTTCCTAACATGTTGGCATCCGCTTGAAGAACCCGATTTTGAGTGCACCAAACCAAGTTAACATTTTTATAATTATATTAGATACATAAAAGGATGGCCTAAGTTTATGGCTCTATCGGGAACTGTTAAGTTTATAGCTGACCAAACTTTTGCTTACCTTATTAATTAACTACAATAGAATATAAATATTACGGACTTCCCTAATTTCTTATTCCACTAGTAGCTTTGCTACAATGCTCTTTTAATAACTAATCCGCAATAACTTTCTTTTACAGATTCTACCTCTGAGTAAGGCGGGAGAGAGCTTTGGTAGTGTAGATATATAACATTTTATCAGGAAACCAAAGCTTTGTGGTCGAAGGCCACGAAGGTACAATGAGTGTAATCACACCCGCAAACTCGAATATAATGTTTCTTAGGTATGTATAGTGGTCTACATTTCTCGCAGCTGCGTAAATAACATATTATAGTACTTACACTTTTACATTTAAAAATATATAAATAAAAAGTCTGATCTTGGAGTTAGTCATTTAATAGATCTGAAAATATGATTATATATTTCACTGCTTATAAGTCATGGAGTACTGAAGGAATATTTATGGTAGGCTTCTCTAAAAATACATTGAAAAGTTTTGCATAAACTACGACTGAGAGCGAAAAAAATAATTAATGAATTTGGCTACGTTTTGATGGAGGAATTATCAGACATATATTAATTTCACACTGATCGTCATTGATGATAATTTTTTGATCTCGGCGGAAATTCGTGGAAGAGATATTTTTAAAGTTAATTGTTTCATAATTATATGCCCACAAGGTTGATTAATAATGTTCATGCCAAAAACTCTTACCATTAAAATATATATCTCATACAGTTTTAAATTTTACTTCCAAATGTTAAAATGTAAACTAGTTTCATACAGTCCATTCCCACCTCAACATACATCGATATAGATTATAAAGAAAAAGTTTAACTCTAAATGTTTCCGTAAAACTGAAATATTGCTCCACATTCATTCAATTCCGAACTATTGTCAAAAGGGTTCAGAACAGAGCAACTCAATTTATACATCTTTAGTTAACGTACTGAATGTTTGTAGATTTTAGCATTGTTTATTATACAAATTAAACCAAAGGCATGAAGATGTTAAATAAAAAGTATGTGAAAATTACATAATATGTAGTATACACAAAGTTTGTATACGAATTACCAAAGGAAGCAATTTATAATACTCTAGGCCTTACAAAATGAATTTATCGCCCAAACTTATTAGTTTTGAGGCCGAATCTAAGCTGAGCCAATAAAGTGCCGTTCGCAACGAATGTTCTGAATAGTATATAAAATTAATTACAATAAAAATGTATATTTTTGTTTTATTAAATTTACAATCACAAGAATTTTTGTTTTTTTTTTTCGAAGATAATTTGTTATTGGTGATTCTGATGTTTGTTTCTTGCAACGGCTGCATCTATTGCGTGCAATAATTTTACTAACGACAAAATATTACTAGGAGGGTATGCACAATATGTAAAAGTAATTTAAATGATTGGTAAACACACATTTTAGCATTCTATCATATTTTATACCTATGCTGTTGCTCAAATTGTTTTACTTAAACTTATAACCTTGCTGTTGTTCATCATATTAGCTTTTTATACTCATATTCTGTTATGTATTTTATTTATAATGTAGATTGTGTAATTATGCACTTTGCGTTGTATTCTGTTGCTGCAGCTGTTGATCATAATATTATTATATTAGCATTGACAATTGTCTGCGTTGCCTGGACGATTGTTTTCAGAGTTCAAGCGTAGTTGATCGGGGAAATCGTTTATAAGTTCAGCCTGAAAATAGCAAGCAATGATCAATTCAATCATTCAATTCATTTAATCATGGGTGAAAACATACCTCCGCCTCCTGTTCCAGAGCATTCTTAGCTATGGTTTGAAACGCCATCTCAACATTAATTCCCTCTTTTGCTGACGTCTCATAATAGGGTATGTCGTTTTTCGATTGGCACCACTGCTGCGCACGGCGCGTAGATACCTGAAACAAAGAAAAAAGTTCACGTAAAAAATACTTGATTCGCTCGTACCTAAATTTATACAACTGAATGGAAACACTCGAAAGTTAAACAAGTAGGTAATGAATCCTACACAATAATCCTATAATACGAAGTTTAAGCACTTAATTTTTTCTTTAAGTGATTTTATTGAATTAGGCAGTTGGGGGTAAATGTATTCTATGAAATAGTTTTCTTTTATATTCCTACACTGATGTATAAATACAGAGCAACAAAATAATTTTCGAACGTGAGACTACCATTGTCTACATAAACATGCAGTTTTTCAAAATAACGGACCTAGGTATTACGTTTAATATCTATTTTTATATCGACTCACTTGACGATTATCTAAATCCACTTTATTGCCCAGCACGACAAAGGGAAAGTGCTCTGGATCCCGTGGACTGGCCTGTATTAAGAATTCATCTCGCCACGAGTCCAAATTCTTGAAAGAGTTTGGCGCCGTCACATCGTAGACAAGGACGCAACAATCCGCACCGCGGTAGAAAGCTACGCCAAGTGATTGGAAGCGCTCCTGGCCGGCCGTATCCCAAATCTAAAAAATAATCCAATTATTCAGCATACAATTAAAAACACATAATAATTATGGATTTGCACTCACTTGCATTGTAACTACTCGATCGTTAACAACAACCTCTTTCGTGCAGAAGTCCGCGCCGATCGTTGCCTTATACTGATTAGAGAATCGTTTGTTTACATATTGATTCATTAGCGACGTCTTTCCAACGCTGCTGTCACCAAGTATGATAACTTTCAACAAAGATTTCTTTCTGGTGGCCATATCGATGTTTTTCCTTTTTATATTTTCCTATTAGCTTTTATATATTCAGGCTGTCTTTCAAGCTGTTGCCTGAAATAGACAATGCATATCGATCTATTAGTTCAAAATATACGCTTTCACTAACTTATTAGACTTAATTTAATTACGCGCTTATCTCAAACCTCTGGATTACCAGCTCAGCAACACAAAAAAATCAGAGCTCTAATGGGAGCATTGGCATGTACATGAGCATGAGCTTGGACATGGGTATGGCAATGATTAAATGATAAATTCAGATTTTACACTACGCACATGACTCATGTACTGAACAATGAGTGACCGTTGAACAGAGCACACGGAAGCAAACGAGGGGTGGGACGGGAGCCCGCATGGAAGCGATAATGAAAAAACGAATGATAGGAAGTGTGTACAGCAGAGAAAGTGATGATGACAACCGAGAAGATGTGGTTTATTTAAATCAAACAAAATTCGCAAGGCGCAATCGGGTAAGAAGTTATACGGGCTGTGAAAGCACAACAATAAACAATAGTAGAAGGAAAACGCCCATATTTATCAATACAAGGATGCTGAATAACATTGAAAACAATTTAAATAAACAGAAAGCAAACCAAACCGAGCAAAAACTGAAAAAATTGCCGTCACATATTTCCTCACGTCGCGTGTTGCGCCCACAAATGACTTGTTTTTGCGTACCACTACAATAACATTCGTATTTATATGTATGTATGTATGTTTTTCTCTGTTTGAGCTTCACTGGCATTTTCCATACCAATTTTATTGCTGCGTAACACAATTTTCCAATGAGTGTTTCTTTCAAACAGCATTGGAACTCACACTTTACAATATACGACAAACCCATTTAGATTGACTTACTTTATTAGAATGTGTTTTTATTGTTTAATCGCAATTTATTTCTACTCAACTACGCAGTAAATTTTTTTTGTTTTCTACAAATTTTGGTCAATATGAACTAATTAATCGGTATCGCAATATCCCGATATTCGATAAGCATGTGCAAGTCTGTTAACAGAGCACTCCACACATAACATAATAATTGCATTTTAAGGAAATGGTTAACGATAGCAGAGGTATTCTCATTTTCATTACGATGAAGCGTTTATGAAGTTAATCAGGAGGACATTTATTAAATTTAGTTTCTAAACAACTAATTTAATAAAAAAACAGTAATAAAATTAAATTTTATAGTAATAATAAAAAATTTACTTTATTCTTATGATTTTAACTATGACTGTACGATATTTACTATCGAAAAATATGAACATTAACGATATTTTGATCTCTACTTTACATCTATGAAGATTATATTTGCCGTTGGTCACACTGCCAAAACGAAAAACAAAATAATTGTAACAATTTTAGCGAGAACAAAAATAACACAGTGTAATTATTTTAAACAAGTTCAGTCTGTGCAATAGGTATTTGTAAGAGAGATTACAAGAAAAGTAAACATGGCAACATTACCGCCCCGAAAGAATCAAACGCCAACCCGCATTTGCCAAACCATGAAGCCTCACTTGACTCCTCTCCAGACGTTGCTGCAAATGGGTTTCCAGAAGCATAGAGCGTAGGTTTCAGTGCTATAATAATTTAGCATGAACTCAGTTAAATAAAGATGCTAAAAACGAAAACCGTCCCTGCAATATTTATTGATTTTTTTTGTAACTTACCCCAACTCCCCAACAGTGAAAAGGCTCTAGCTTCAACCGGCAATAGAGGCGTACAGATAGCATCTGATTGGCTTCTGGCCCATGTTAACGATGCAGCTTTGGACGAATGTGCTCCACGCGAGTACATTATTTATGCATGCCCAACTGGACCATTTCTACAGCAGCTGGAGGAGTTCTGGTCAAAATCACGCCAAATGTGCGGTTGGAATGGGGCGCACAACTATGTGCCCCACATAACGCTAGTATCATTCTTTAAGGTGAGCAGATAAGCATATAGGTTAATAAATTCAACAAGTCATACTTCGTTTTTCATTGCCAGGCCCCCGACGAATGCTCTCTGCAGCTGTCGAAAGCTCTTAAGCAAGTCGTGGATATGACAGGCGCACTGCTCGATCGGCCTATCAAATTAGAGCCATATATGAGCCAAAACTTTATGGGATTCTTTGTGGCCGAGGATGATGCCAACTATTTGAAACGTCTTGCTTTACAATATGTTAAGGAGGTTTCCAACTCAAGTATGCCAGGGCCCCATTGCAAATCTTGTTTGGTTGCAGTTGCATTGTTTGATTTATTATGGTTTTCAACTATTTATCTGGTTATCTGTTTATTGCCGATGGCTTCGGTTCTGTTCAGTTCTGTTTGGCGTGGCTTACGGTTTCGTTTTCTTCCTATCTCTTTGGCTTCACACACTAATCGTTGGCAATGGACTACAATATTGGTAACTGAACACAGTTATAAGCGATACTTACGAGCAGCTGGATGCCATTGTCGCCTGCTTCCCTTGGTGTGGAGCAGTTTCATCAGGCACCCGCTGTATTCCGCGGAGCAGTCGATGTAAGCAGTCAATTTAGCTAGAGTAAACCCTCTCCAATTAGTTCCTTATTCATTTTTACACTCGCATGCTTTGTTTTTATAAATTATTACGTTCCTCACGAGTACACTGTTATCTAGCTCACTAAACGACCATTTTTAGACGCATGTTATCTTGGGAAATAATACACGTATTAATTATGCCCTTATCAACATAGTTATAAAGCATATTGCGTATCGTTTGGATTCAGAAATTGTTCTTAATACACTTTGTTACCCGTAGCCATCTCACTCGAGCCACACGTAAAGAGCCTGCACCTGACGCTCGCCTATCAGTTTCCGCAGGCACAATTCAATGCACTGAAATCACTTGTGGAAACCCTCGATGCCAGCTGTGCATCCAATTGGGAGCTGCGTTTGTATTCCCGCGACCCACGACTCGCCACCAAACAAGTTAGCACAACGCACTGTTTGCACTCTCTAAACGATGGAAATTTAATTAATTCTTTCAATTTGTAGGTGCAAAAAGTAGTATATCCCCATAACCCGCATGAAACGGACGAGCTGGAGTTGCGTATTGGGGATTATATTTACTTAAATAGCGAAGGCGTTGATAGTTCCAGTGACGGCTGGGCAGAGGGAATATCTTGGCTAACTGGTAGCACTGGTCATTTGCCAGTTAATTACACGGAGCGCACCGCTGAATCGGATGCCTGGACATTGCATCGTGTGGTTCAGCTTTCGAAGAGTGTAGCATCGTCACTTAACTCTGCCGAAGATATAGACATTGTTGACGGACGGAGTATATCCACAGAGCCCGAGGAGCGTCAGCGAGAGCTGCAGCAAAGTAAGTTGAAAATGATCTGTTCCCATATTTCCATTCTATCAATAATTTTTTTTGTAGGCGCACAACATCCTGAGATTATAGAGGGCTCCTCTTTTGAGGAGTCAGAGCAGAGCGTCGAAAAATACTTGCGTCAGACCTTGCAGCCCTGCCTGGAATTGCCGTCGGTGCAGCTCCTAAACAGTCATAATCTAACTCTTCAGCATAATCAGCACACTCCTACAATTGAGATTACAGCGAATATGTCTTCCAACTCACTATCTCAAAACGTTGATGAGATCATGGTGGAACCATTAGCGGAGCAGTTACCACGACCGGATGATACACTCAGCGTGCACTCGGATCATTCACACCCGCACTTGCAGCCAAATGCATTGGATGCCGAACCCAGTAAGAATCGCAAGATCTACATTATGAGGCATGGCGAACGAGTGGATTTTACTTTTGGCACCTGGATACCCTATTGCTTTAACGAGTTCGGCAACTATATGCGCAAAGATCTCAATATGCCTAAGGTATTGCCACATCGTAGGAACAGTCCCGAAGGCTGGCAAAACGACTCGCCTTTGACAAATGTGGGGCTATACCAGGCGCGTCTAACCGGTGAGGCTCTGCTGGAGGCTAATGTACAAATCGATCATGTGTACTGTTCACCCTCATACCGATGCGTTCAAACTTGTACAAGTGCTTTGGAGGGTCTTCAATTGAATGGTAAACACAAAATTAAGCTGGAGCCTGGATTGTTTGAGTGGATGGCCTGGTATCCCAATGGTGTGCCCGATTGGTTAAGCAAGAAAGAGTTAACTGACTCCAGGTACGATATTGATTTGACCTACGAGCCTGTGCAGCAAGCCACAGATTTAACAGCCCAGTTAAAGGAATCAACGGAACAGTTTTATATGCGTAACCATGAAGTGCTACTACAGTTGCTGGAGCGGACCAGTGAGTATCTTTGAAAAGTAGCATATGCCCACATAATTAAATACATCTAAATTATTCTAACAGCTGGTAATCTTCTTGTTGTCGCACATGCCACTACATTGGATACGTGCTCGCGCCAACTGACAGGTGGAGCAGCACGCAATACCAACGAGCTGCGACAGGTTATACACAAAATACCCTACTGTAGCCTGGTCACAGTAGAACAGTTGGATGGTGTATGGAAATTGGTCGAACCAGATTGCCTGCCCGTAACACACTCTAAAAATCCACGATTTGAGTGGAGTGCTCTGTCGACCACCTAGTGCCCGTGCTTGGAGCAGTTTCTGTGCAAGCATTGAGACTGAACCGAAACTCACATCACACAACATTACACATATTCAGAAATAAACATACGTAATTTGTTAAGTTTAATAATTGGCATCCAAAGCGCTAACATTATTTACATGCGATGTATCCACTGATGACTATAATATTACTGCCATACGTTTATACCGGAATTAAATGAAAACACCCTTGCTTACAATATAAACATAAATATTTATGCAACACAATATTTATATTTATATATGCAATACAAAAACTAAGCTGCCAGTGCTGAAATTATGCAAACTAACTTAGTTTTTCATACTTTTTATAAGATGCTGCAAAGTAATACTTTCTACTTGCAATAATTGTTAACAATATATATTTATAGCGGGCACATTTGGCCTTACAATTAGTAATCCTTTGCTGCTTTCAACTTAAGCTTGACCTGTTGGCTCAATTAATAATGCTTACCCTTAGCTTTGCCACAGATATAGCTAATTACAAAGCTATATCTGTAAATAATTCACCCCAGAGGCAAGTTCTTATACGTACATACATATGTAGGAATAGTCATGTAGATGATAATTACTCGTAGATATCAAATATGCGTTAGAAATAAACAAAAATATGTAATAACATGCAGCAATAAAAACGTCATAAAACTATTATTTTACACTTCAGAATTCTTCGTAATCCCTCTTCGACTGATCTTGAAAAGACATTCAATAGTTTGCTTTAACTTGAGCGGCTCTGCAGAAAAAAGCCGACATTTTATTTATTGCGCATAGAATTAGTACAGTAATTTGTTGTAATTGTTAAAACTATGAAATATATTATTGTTGAACTATTTATTTGAATTATTATTTGTATTGGTATTTTGTAATATACATACATATATATTTATTGATGTATATAATTTGTTTTTAGTTTTTGTTTTGTTTTATTTTTTTTTTGTATTTTTGAGTTTGTAATAAAAATTTCCCAACCAATTGGGCGAAATTAACGAACTTATAAGAACTAGTTATAGAATGAATTGTTTTTGTTTACTACCAAATATTGCTTTCAATTTGGTTAGTAGATTAAGCATTTCTTGTTTTGATGAAAAGTAAGTTAAAATTCATGTCACTTATTGTGACGACACGTCAGCCCAGATTGGGCCTAAGAATATATAATTAAAAATGTATATGGGCGAATTAAGTTGACGCGACAGGACAACTTAAATTGAAAATGTTGCTCAAGAGTATGGAAAGCCGTTTGTAAATAATCCCATGCTCTGGGTCAACTCAATGGCCAGTAATAGCAGGAGCAAGATGACAACCACCCCTGCCCTTAGCCAGGATCATTGCCCCGACGATTGGTTTTCTAATTGTTAGCATTGCACTTTGCCAAACTGGACACCACGACGTTCCAAGTGCTCGCGATACTCCTTATAGTGCATCTGGATCTCCTGTGACCGATAGCGCGTCAGCTTGATGGACTTGCGCAGGTCTTGAGTAATAACTGCCCGATAGCCGCCTTTGCGCAATAGCGAGTCTATGGTTTGAAGTTGATCCCAGCCTTGCTCTGTAGCCACTTGCGGTAGGTAGGTGGCTGTGCGCTTTAAGCCGCGCTCAGTAAAGAACTCAATCCGAATACCATGAACCCCCAGTTGCCAATCCAAATGACCCTGGGCCTCCTCGAAGTTTTGCAAAATGGAAACAGATACTGTCAGCCGGGGCAGCTCATCACGCGAGATGGGTGCGAAACGTGAATCCTTGAATGCGCTGGTCAGTGCGTATTCACGAAGTCCATTGTGCAGTTCCATGGCGCTGAAAGTGCCAATACAGCCTCGCAATCGCTTGTCGCGCCCAATTTTCCATGTCACAAACAAAGGGTAAGCATCATTGCTAAACATCGGAACAGCTGGACCATCAATATTATTCAGTTCGCAATCAAGTACCTCGAAGCAGTACAGGCACATGTCCGGCACAGCGACACTATCTAGGGGCTTTATCCTCGTGCCGTGTCCATTCATATAGTGCTGTGAGTAGTGCACCGGCTGCTGCTGGTGGTACTCCTCATGCCTGTCGTCCCCGTTGCTATTGGAGTGTTGCGGCTGTTGCTGCTGGTAGTTGTTGTGGTGTTGCTGGTGGTTGTTGTAGTGGGAGTTGGACATTTTAGCTGCTTCTGCTGCTACGTTTAAGTTTAAATCTACCAATTACGTTACTTGTTATGTATATATATATTTTTTATAGTTAATGGCAGTGCACGTTGATGATCTAGGTTCAATTAACATAAGAGAACAACGAAAAGAAGTCTAAAGGTTCTTTTGTCTAGCATGTAAATCAAACGCCAGCCAAGCGTATCACATCCAGCTAATGCTGCAAGATAGTATCGCAAATGGATATAGGTCACTAATATTACATGACATTCAACTTACCTTGGCAATAAAGTCTCTGGCCACCCTGGTTTCGTCTTTCTTGTTCGTTAACTAGTTGCTCCCGCACGCTGACACAGCTCGTTCTTTTTTCTCCTACAGGATGATGCTCGCATTTAATAGCCCGCACTTTCGTCGCCGTTGTCCTTGTAGTTTCTGCTGCTGTTGCTGTTCCTTTTCCTGATCCCGCTGCTGTTTGCTTCCAGACATTAGCTCTTGCCCCTCTGCTGCTGCTCGGCTGCCGTTTTGAATGCTACAAAGCCATAGCTCATAAACAAAACATTGATTTGCAGCTATTTGTGCTTCACCTCCCGATTTCAATTGAAAGTGCGTCAGTGAGCGCCGTCGTTCTTTCTTGTTTTGCTGTGGGTGTAAAATTATTTTCAATAAATGTCTAACGCGCGAATGCGATCTTCACCTTCGCGCAATGGCTTAATGCAATCTCATTGCGTTATCTGTATAAAAGACAGAAGAGAAGAGAAAGTAGTGAAACTCTTGTTTTTCAATTTGTTTCGTTTTTACTATATTTTTAATTGCTCTTTGTTCCTACTTCATTTGCATTTGCCTCACACTAGCATTGCTTTTAGACGAGCAGATAGTTACACAAGACTCGTAGCCTGTTATTAATACCGATTGTACCAATTGTACATAATATATTTTTTACAAATTTGAACTACATTTACCTTGTGCTGAGATCCAATTTAATGTAAACAAATTTAATAATTTTTTACGATTTTAGGAACAGTGTTGCCCAATTCCCGAAGCTGACCTAAAAAGGAATTATAAAAAAATACTAGCACTTACACAGTTCACAACAAGCTGTATATTTAAAACCAAATACACTTAAAAGGTTTTTTTTTTAGTAAATTTTAAAAGCACTTTAATAATGCTCATTAAAATTTACGTTGATTTTATTTATAAACATATGTTGACATACAATAAATAATTTACTTCGAGTTAGTGACATCATAATGGTACTAAAAATGACAAGCTACAGTATATAAATGCATCTCCATTGCTCGTTGTAGTAGGGCCACAGCTGATTTTGATTTTTTTATATATCTATTCTATTCTATTATCCGTGATATAAGTTCAAACAAAATAAGTGTTTTAAATATACAATTTTCAAGTACATTCATTAGTTAATAATTATTTAATTACATAGATAGTGGTATTTTTAGTATTTAAATGTATTCTGTTTATTTGATTTTTTTTTTCATTAATAAATAGCGTATCACTTTTACTGTGTATTGCCAACCCTGTTTTAAGCTAAACAATAATACATATATAAACACCTAGAAGTATTTGCGAATTTCATGCATATAAATGGCGCTAGCAAATGTACTTTTGCTTAGTCAAATAGCTGGACACGTTCTTCTATTCATATTATCCTTATGCATTGTACTGCCGCTATCAATTAACCTCGATCAGTTTTGGTATGTATTCAAAGACGTAGTTTTTACCAGGAATGACTAATGTGAACACCCAAACAATCACCAATTCAGTGGACACTGCTTGCTCTTTACAACAGGCAAATGGCGAGAAGAGGACGGCATGTTCGATGTACATTGGGCATCCAATGGATACTGCAATTTTCCTCTAATTACTGGAATCTTTCTCCTGATCATCTCAGTTGTACAAATCTACCGGTACGCATATACAATCTAGTAATGAGTCTGATTGTGCACATTAAATTCTGTTGCCTATTTCAGATATGTTCGAATGAAGGAGGAGGAATCTTTTATTGCACTTTTTATTGATGTTGTGCTCGGCATTTGGATGCTGGCTATGTCCATCTTGTCTGCAATTTTCATTACATTGGGCTTCATTGTCTGGTGCGATGGAATGACCGAACGTTTTCCATCGTGCGAAACTTCGGCTGGACAAAACATTATTAGAGGCGACACTGAAAAAATTAATACATCAGGATTTTATATTGAAATGGGCACTACTCAGGTGAGTTATAGTTACTTTGAAAATGTTATGTTATCATAAACATCATTATTTATTTTTAAAGTTTGGCGCCTGGGGAGCATTTGCTATTTCAGTGGGTATTGGAGTCATCGCGTTGCTAAAACTTATACACAATCATCAAGTTCGAAACATAAAGGTGTCCATGTATCTAGAACGACAACGCTTGGTTAATCAGCAGAATTTCGATGGGCGTTCAACGCCCCCGCTCCATTCGGGCACCTCATCTGACACCGAACACAATAAATAGTTGGTAATTTCGTCAAGTCAGCAATTTGTTATTCTTTATGTTTTTCTCATGATATGTACGATAATTATATTATGCCATTTGATTGTCGTGCTCATAATTACAATTGAGTTGCGACAGCAGGCATTCATAATGTAGTAAAATTTATATTAGTGTATATTGTTATTACATTAAGATATGTGTGTATTAATCATTACCTTACAAGCGGTAATTGAAAATTATAGTTTATAAGTAATATATATATATTAATCAAAACAATTTTCTTCTATAAATAAAATATAATTTCTGATCTTAATCTGAATCTTAAGTACACTTCTGTGTTGTTTTCCCAATCAGGACACTTGATATTCCTAGAATCGCTAAATTGGTTTACTTCTAGAATAGTTCATATAAATAAGATAATGTAGGACTTTGCCAACTTCATAAAATAAAAGCTGTTGACATTGAATTAATATTATTTAAGAGCTCCAAAGGCTTTACAATTTCAGAATATTGTGTTATATTTTATTCGGAAAGTTCAGTTTCATATTTATTCATGTAGAAATATCAGATATCTAACACGATGAGTTCCTCTATAGATTGGTGATGTTATATGTCTGCGTTTACCAATAAATATTTATACGTATACGCTAATAAAAAGCGTATCAAATCGATTAATATGAATGTGGCCCTTCTTCGTTGAAATCGATATCTTCCAGAGTTTGTATCCAGATGAACGAGTTAACTTGTTTTTACATCGTGAATTAGTTCTAGTATTCTAATTCTGAAAAGTTTTTGAAGTATAGCTAGAGCTATAGTCATTAGATCTAGTAAATTACTTACCACCATCGGAAATAAATAAACACATAATATTGGAATTCTGTTATGTCAATTACATTTATTTTGCAGTTATTTTCATTTCATATCTGTTTTTTAATGCTGCACGAATTTTTCGTTCTGTCAAACGGATTTTGGATTTGGATATTCGCTTTTATTTTTGCATTACAACAGAATGTTCATTATAGACTTTAAAGCGATTCCCATTGTACATTATAAATTCCGTATTTGCATGCGTAGTCTGTTTAACAATTTCCGCAACGATTTTCATTTTGAATTTGAGTTGACAAATTTAGCTTTTATCTTTTATTTTTTGCTTTTGCTTTTGTTTTTGTTTTTTTAATATACATAACATACTTATTTCATTCAATTATATCCTCTGCCTGCAAAAAGATTAATTTAATATGGAGCAAAAAGTGTTGCAGTTTACTTTGGTTTTTAGAGAAAAATAGTTACTTGTACATTTATGTATGGATTTTGTTCTGTTTTGTTGTCTTGAGTTCATGAAACAATTTTATGGTTGGCTCTCAGATGTTGTTATTGGATTTATAATTTTGGTTTTGGTTTTTGGTTTTGGTTTTTTGTGTTTGGTTTTTTGTTTTTGCTTAAGATTAACACTACATCAATGTATGTACTATAATTAGTATTTTTAGTTGTTGTATGTTTTTGTTGGTTTTTTTTTAATTTTTAATTTTTTTTTTGATTTTTTTTTTATTTTTTCATTGTTGGTAATTATGTTTTGGATTTCTTTGAATAGCATATTATATAATTTTTTCATTTTTTTCTTACTTAGACTAAGTTTTTCAATACATAATAAAAGAAACAACTAAAATGTTGGAAAAAAAACTTCGTGTTGTTTTGTTTCAGTGTATTTGTGTATTAAATTAGGCAAGAAATCAAATCACCTGCGAGTTGCAATTTTTGTGCCAGTGGCTAATCGATTCGAGCTCGAGTCAAATGGCTTGTTTCGAACTCGAATAAGTTTGCGAATGGCCGCACGTGGCGCGTCCCAGTGGTCTATGCAATATGGGAAAGGTTAAGTCGAATTTTCCACCATAGCCAAATAATAGTAATTTAATTATAAAAGAAAATTACTCATTCCATTTTTTTGTTTTTATTTATATGTTTTTTTTGACGCGCATTAATTTTGTGTTTTTTATTTTTGGTTCCATTGCATAGACGACTGTCCCGGCGCCTAACGTGTGCGATCGCTAGGAAATTCACGGAAATCGGGTGTGCTCTGATTAACCCCAAGCACCGAGCCCCTTAACTGCAACTGGTCGAGGTGGTTTGCTGAACGCAAAAGTTGTGTAAATTTCCCTTTAGAAGTCGGCATGAACAAAATGCGTGCCTGTGTGTGTGTGTATTGGGATCCAAAACTGTTTGGAGGGAGACTGTTATGCGATTTCCGTGTTAGCATAACAGTAAATGCGATAAAAACGGTCTGTTTCTGTTGTGATGGATGTGGGTGTTGATATCTGTGTCTATATGTGTGTGTGGGAAAAGGCGACTGGAAATACTCTGCAAGGCATTCCATAGCATAGAGGAGCCGGTTATTCCCATTCCCAATCGCCTTCACGTCTGTAGTGTGTGGGGATGGGACACTTGTGCATGCGAATAACCGCGAGTGCAGACCATGCACATGCGCCCCATCCCCGACAGCGATAACGGTATTACAGCGAGTTGTGTGTGTCTTGTGTCTAACAGAAGAAGTAATGTAAAATTAGTTAATAAATTTTTAAAAATTGTTTTTTAAGCGTTTTGAAGTTGAAATTGTAGTGTCTCCAGTTGTTTTCTTCTTCTTTCTTTTCTTTTCTTTCTTTTCATTTATATTTCTTGATTTTTTTCTTTTTCTCTTTTCTGTTTTTCTGTAAGTGGGTTCAACATCCAAAAATGTTCAAATGCATGTGAAATACTTACGTGCCCCAAAAACTGACTGACTGACAGACTGACCAGCCAACAAAGGCGGCAGCCGGACAGAAATACATTGTTATCAGGCACATTGTTTTTCTTCTGTAAGAAAATGCATTCGTTTACATTGAATAATATTCGCACAACAGTGGAGAAAATTCATACCAATTGCACAATCCAGATTTATTTAACCCATTCTTAATGTTCATGCATTTCATTGTACGTACGTATGTCCATACATACATATGTATTAGTGACGTATGTATGTATGTCATATGGAATTTGTAGTACACATTTCTTCCGTTAGTTGTGTTTAGCCTAACGATTTTTTAAATATGCGATTTGTTTCGTCCCTAATTGTTTTTAATATACATGCTATGCAATTTGCAGCGATTTTGTTAAAAACAAGAGCTTCATACGTATTTTCTCGCATCTGTTGTAACATTTATAGTTTAGTTATTTTGGTTTTTATTTTTTTTTTGTTTGTTACTTTTCCGTGTACTTTGCGCCAGAGCGCTGGGCAGCACTGTTGCGCCCTCTAGCTGTCAGTGGAAGCAACAGTGCTGTAATTGCCAAATTCGTTAATTTTTGTTTTTGTTTTGGTTTCTTAGTTCTTTTCTTTTGTCAAAATTCATTATTTACTTTGCTTCATTTGTTTCCAACAAACAATTATTTAACAATTCAATTTTGTACTATTTTATGTTGCTATACTCTTTGCGCTGGTTTTGTTATGTTTTGTTTAGCTCTTTCTTCGTCTTATTAATGGTATCACTAATCTGTCGTTGATTTCTTTTATACATACATAGGAACGAAACGGTAAGGAACATAATTGAACTTGAATTTTTCTTACAACATTTGCCAGACTATTGCTGTGTGTGTGTGTTTGTGTGTGTGTGTATGTGTATGGAATAAAGATTTGAATATATCATCATATCGACAGTACGTATGCACACATACTTGCATGACACACTGTGTATGTCCTGTGCATATACATACATACATACACGCGATACTGAGTAGTTTATGCGTAAAATTGATGTGTGCAGTTGCGCCCAGCTGCAGCTATAGTATAGTAGTAGTTGTTGTTCTTGATCTTGTTGTTGTAGTTATAGCATTAAATAGTATTGATAGTTGTAGTTCTTGTTTGCTTGTTTGTTTGTTTTTTTTTTTGAAATATATTTTATATATGTAGTTACAGTGCTGGCCACGCTGCTCTTCAGTTACTTCCGCGAGCCACTGTTCAGGTTCGAGCTGTTTGAGTTTAACGTACTTATTGCAGACGTATGATGATATATGGCTATGACATAGACACCTTCTCTATACACATATACATATATAGGAATAGAAATACACGTACATACATATACATACATATAGTAAAAGAGTTAATTTTGATTAAAGTTGTTTGGTTTTTGTTTTTGATTTTTTAGTTCAATCTTCTGCTATGGTAATCGACAATGAGATTGTGGCTAAGTTGATGTGGCTGCTGTGGTGGTGTGGTTGTGTGTTGCATGGATGTGGTAAACGCTGCAATGAGCACGTTAAATCAGACGCTCGCTATACCATATTCAGAAGTCCGTGTTATTTGGGCCCGCATCTGCCTCGGCGGCATCGCCCACCTCACCCACGCTCGGTGGCAGCGCCAGCGACAGGTGTGGAGTTGCTGAGCCAGCGACGAGCATGGTTGGCTCCGTGTTGCGTCGTTTCATTTTAAGTTTATTCTTTTTTAACATGGTGGCCTAGGTAAGTGAGGCGATTAATTAATCGATTAATCAAGTTAATACGAGTTGTGTTTGCGTTTAAGGTTCATTTTAGATAATTCATTTTTGGCGTCCGGTGCATAGATTGATTAAATCGATTAAGAGCAGATTAAATGTATATTGTTGTTGTAGTTGTTGGTGTTACAGATGTCATACATTCATTTTTCATATAAAATTTTAGATTAATTTATGTTCAGTAATACAGAGAGATAGAGAAAAAGAGAGAAAGAGTATAAAAAGGAGAGTTAACATAAATGAAATTATGTTATTATTATTATTATTATTCTGGAATTATTTAGTTAGTTAGCTTTTAAACTTTTACATATTGAAAATCAAAGTATTAATGGGCATTAATTATTTAAAAAAATAAACCAATATTTTAAAATAATAGGAAATTGTTTAGCAAATGAAGCAAAATGCATGAAATTTGAATAAACTAAATTCCAGATGGTAAATCATTTGCATCTCTAGCAGTTTATAATTAACAAAATAGAAAACAAATAGTTTACATTTTTTTGCTCAGTGTATATATATTTGTGTCTGTGTGTGTGTGATGTGTGTGCAGATTAGTTGTAATAAGGCTCTGCACACTCTAAGCGCATTTCAAAAAGAGGCTAAAAGCATCAAAAAATAATTTAAAAATTGTAATCAAAGAATTAGACGTGTGTGCGATTCGGTGTGTGTGTGTGTGTGTGAGTGTGTGTGTTAACAGTTTACAGCTAATTCAAGTTTTTAAAAGCGGTGGTCTTTATATTATTGTTGCTCTTGGTCAGAGGGTGGTGGCTTATTATTTGGTGGTTCGGTTTTAAGTATTCTATAAAAAGAGTTTTCAGAGTTCGCATCAAAGTTTTTCTAATTGCTGCACCAGTTTATTCACAATGCCTTTGATAACCTCAGCTCGCACAAGTTTATAGATATTTCGATATTGGGTATATGTTTGGTTTGGTTGTTGTTCGTTTTTCTTATATATGTAGTCGGATGTAGTATTTAGTTATTTCTCCTATAGATCTGAGCTTTGCATTCTGTGGCTGGCAATATTAGCTTAGATTTGTAGCTTCTCCTGCCGTTACTGTTTCTATGTATGTTGTTTGGTATTTTGTCGGCCTATGGGAAAAAACAGGAGAACCAATATCGTACACCGGACACATATGCTGAGGCTATACTCTATGTGCTGCCAAAGTGTATCGAAGGCGGCACTGAAATATCCTTGTCACCATTCTCGGCTGCATGCTGCGGCTGTTGCTGCTGCTGCTGTTGTTGTTGCTGCTGCTGTTGCTGCTGCTGCTGTTGTTGTTGTAGCTGCTGCTGCTGTTGTTGCTGTTGCTGCTGTTGTAGCTGCGACTGTTGCGGCATGTTTTGCATGGCCGTGGTGCTGCCAGCCACCGAGAGGCTTAACACCGCCGGCGAGATATGCGGCTCCGTAAGTCGTCGTTTACTCTTCGTTTTCTTCAGCATGGTAGCCTGAATGTAGCATAAAACACACACAAGGGTCAAAGGCGACATATCTCAACAGCTCAACACATCAACAACGTACACACCCAAAGAAAAAAACATTTACAGTAACAAATTGGGTTGCCTCCTCAAAGGTAAACATAGAAAATGGCTTTTGCCAGATGCCATTCTTGGCTCTTCATAATTCTCAATTTATAGATCGCAAAAACTATAGAACATAGTCAGCTCTGTAGATAAAAACTTCATTTTTTTTATACTACACTGAAGACGACTCAATAAATATCTAAAAGATTCGATTTCTATTAGACGAACGATTTCAGCTCAATATGAATTCAATTTCTCGATATATTATACTTATTATATATATATTATATATATACATATATATATGTATATATATATGAATATATTTATGTTTTAATGATCTTATCATCTTGCACAATACATACAAAAGAGGGAGATTAGGGACTTCGTTATATTTTATATACATGGGTTCGGGTGGGGCTTGTGGGGACAGCATGTGCTCGAATATAATATATTTAGAATGTAGGTACGAGTAATATCGAATATAGACACGCACTAACAGTGACAGAGGTTGGCTTCTATTGCAATTGCCTTGCTATCAACAACAATTAGCTTGATTAATTAACTTGAACAAATTAAATTACAAAATACGTGTAACACAATTATTCAGTTGGGCCGTAATATTTGCATTTTGGGACGTAGGACGTGGCTGTTGGTTGGTTGATTGGTTGCATGCAAATAGTTTTTTTACATAAAACAAACACACACAGTTTCAATTCAATGATCAAATTATTTCTCACAAAGATCGATCTACTTTTAACATACAAATATTGCAACAAACAAATTCTTAAGCTATTTTCCTCACTTTGAAGATTTTCAACATGTAGATAACAGGAGATTAATGTGTTTGTCAAAAATACGAATCAATTTCTAGTTGGGGAGATACAAAGCCGAACTTCAATCATCATCAATCAATCGTCGTTTGGAACTACTGCTACTTATCGAATAATATATGGCAAAGTTTTTTTTGTTTTTCAAGTTCCATTCGTCTCTAATTTATAATAATGTTATTGTTCTCTTCTCATAGATGGTTTGTCGAGTATGATCTGTGGTTTCTGACTCATTAGGTGTACAATCAGTAGGTAACGTACGCAGAAATTGTAGAGAAACCATAAAAAGGAAAAGAATTGGAAAAGCGCGCAGTAACAAAGAGTTTGGTGCATATGTTTCGATTTCATCGTTCCCATATGATATTGTATATACAAAAGAAATAATAACGGAAAGCTGTCATGCAATAAGAACTGAATATTTTAAGCATGCATTTCCTAACTTATGTACAAATTCGTTTAATGCTCGTTTCGCACATACCTTGAGCGCGGACTTGAGGACCACCACGTCGCCAGGGCTTTGAATCCATGGCTCGCCATCCACCTGTACTGGCATGTCAGTGTTCAAGTGTATCTTGATGTGACCACCCTGGAAGACGGCAGGTAAATGGTTATGTTAATTACTGCTCGGGCCCACGGGACGTATGTGTGACTTACCTGTGCTATGCGCATGGCCGTGCGTATGCCCGACTGGATCTGTCCTAAGTGTACGACACCTGTCACTCCCACGACCTCCAGCATGCCATCGTAGTGATTGGGCGTGCTGAACTGATCATCCTTATCCGGACCCCAGGGGTTGGCGCCGCTGCCCCAGCTGTGAAGTTAATTGGAGCGATTAGCCCGAGGCCTTATGAATTTATCCTATTCCAGTTTCACACTCACCTCAATATATTTAATATGATGATGCCATCGACAGGTGGCAGATCTACAACCTTGCCATCGACCTCCAGGCGAAGCTCCTTCTGCAAATCCTTGACCGTTTTGCGTCCCACAATCTTCCGCAAGCCCATTTTCACATAGTAGCCCTTGTTGCGCAGCCGCGAATTGAACTGATTGG